TATATATATAATGATGAGAATATGGCAAAACGTCCATGTCATAAAAGCCTTGACGGTTCATCACAGCCGTTTGAAATATTCTGTTCGTATTCTTTAATACCATTCACGTTTGCGCTCTCAGGAATGACCCAAAGGTTATTATGACACACATAAATGTTTGTGTTACAAAGTTTACTTCAGCACCGTGCCTAGATATATGTTTTGCTAGAACTTTTTTATGGCCACTTCATAGATTTCGATAAAACTCGATCGATATGTCCCGAATCTTTGTAATTCACTGAGCACAACAAGGCTATACCTTCTCTACTACAAATATTTCGTTTCAAAAGCTATGTCATCACGCCAGTCATATACATACACGCTCTATTATTTCAACCCTGTCTTGGGTGTTCTTCAAAACAACGATGAGGATGCGCGAGTCATAGATTCGTGGATAGTATGTCGAGTATAAAGAAAGAAACTTACTGACGTGAGTTGTGTAGTAAAACCGATATGATCATATATTTCTTTTTGTCCTGAAAAAATATTTAGTAATAATGATTTGTATATTGTATTTCGCTAGGGTCAAATAGGGTCTAATCTTTCTTTTCGCTTAGGGCTGCAGAGGTCCGCTGCAGGCAGTCGCTCGTCGACGCACTTCCTACTACTTGTATACCTCTCTAGTTGTTACGTTATTTTTCATATTGAATTCTCATTATTCGTGTAACAAAATCCTGATGCTCGAAATCTTACGAAATGCGAGATTCAAGCAACCATAACTAAGAGTGTCTCTTTGTCATAGAAATATATACATCTTGTTGTTGTAGTGTGAATTTTAGTCGAGTGTGGATGTGTGTCCGTGTGTATGAAGATGGGGGAGTGGTATGTGTGCTTATGTACACTATAAAAAATGGCTATGTCGATTCCTGAACTAGAACATTCCTGCACGTTACAACAAGTCAAACAGCGTTAAAAGGGCAGACGTAATCTACTGATACTGTGCAAACAAAAAGGGCAGAATAATGGTTATATGAAAACAGGTTTAAGGACCTGACTACTACAACAGCAAAAACGATGAAGGTGGAAATGGGACATTTGATCTCAGAAGCTCGCCGGCTCAAACAATGGCTAGAATAGAGTGATAACGGAATAAGAGGAAAAGACAGGTTCAGAGCAACTATAATTAGGATGGGCGAAGGCAGTATTTATTATCATTATTATTACTAAGTATCGGATAATACTGACAAGTAACGATATATAATAGTATATAGCAATAGTGATAAGTCTACATATATAAAACATATATTATACATCGCCGTCGATGGTTCTTAAAATAATGATTATTATAATTATACTAATAGTAAGATTGATGAAAAATCAAATGATGAACTGTGCGAATTGATAATGATAATGATAATAATAATAATATGATGATGATGGTAATTTCTGTAAGAGATTTGCAGCACTAATTGTAGACGGTGTGTTGTATCATCTGGCGTTCAGCGACACCTAGGGTTTTTGACTTTACGGTAGAACGGTGTAGCGAGAAGGTTCGTTGACTTCTGTGTGATTGGGTCATTTCGAGCATAGAAAAGTGTTTTAAAATGAGTTTCCTTACTACTTATCATCGGCTGGCGGTCGCTCTAATATGCTTCGACGAAAGCAATTTTATAAGGTTAAATCAAATCCAGTGCCACTGAGGTCAACATCATGGATGTCAGGCTTTACCTTATGCGGAACAGGGCGAGGACGGCGTACAGTTTCAATACTATTTACGTCGCCGCTGTCGTCGAGTCCGAATGCAATAGGAATTGCTTTTCCCAGCGTTGGCAAACTCGTGAAAAGGGTCGTAACCAATAAATAATTGTTTACAACAAAACGCTAAAGGGAACCAACGCAAAGTAAAAAAAAGTAACCCATTATTCCTGTATTATAGCCTATTAGGACACAAAACCGCTATGCAGAGCCGTTCCAGACGTTATTAAATTGCATTTCGTCGACAAAAAATGGAAGACAAAATAAACTTCGAAGAGGCCTAATCACTAAAGCGAAACACAAGTAGAATTTCAGTTTTACCATGACTCGAAACCGTTATATATATATATAATGAACACGTGACACAAATATATATAAATAAACACATTGTCATGCCTCACGGGGTGTAGTCGGAAGTAGTGCATAAACTGTAAAATTGAATTTCCTAATAGATAAAAATAAGAATAATAATAATGATAATAAGAATAGTAAATGTGGATTACGTAGTCGTGGTGACGAATTATTATTGAATGACGATTATTATTATTGTAATTATCATCGTAGCAATTGACTTTTTCACTTCTCTGCCATTGTCGGTACTATAACATCGCAATGAGTATTGGCTGCCATGGCAATGTGATTCAAGCCTTAACATGAAAATTGGTAAACTTGCAAAAACGAAGGCTTATGAATAATTACAGTGGTCAATACAAAGGTGACAATGGTGCGCAGTTTTTTGTACATTCGGCAGAACATAACACAGTGATTAAACCCGTCTATACTTGTCCTGTCGTGGTCTTTCTGAATCATAAAATGCTTCAGTGGGTGAGTTGGAACCAATTAACACACTGGCATAATTCATAATCCTTGCATAGCCTTTGGTGACGCTAAGAAAATCCGAAAACCTCGTAAAAATAAGACGGAATGAGCTAAATTTCAACAAAGTGAACACAGTGTTTCGCTTAACGACCATTGTACATATATATATACTCTGGTGATGATTATAATAATAGTGCTAACGATAATAATAATTCAATTTCAATAATAACCAAAGTGGACAATATGGCAAATGGCAATGATCATTTTAATTGTCGACTATAGTAATAATAATAATATTATTACTTTGAAGAAGAAAACAAAGATTTTTGGGTGACAATACGTGCCAAAGATTGTTGAGGCGGCCACGACGGCGAGACTATTTTGTTTTTCTAGTTATGTCACTATACTGCAGAAATTGCTCACACACGATTTGCTATACCGTAAGTTTTTTTTTTCATTTTGCAGTATAAGATACATTAAAGAAATAAATGTAGTATCAAACCGGATGCGCTCCCCTAGCAGCAAAAAAAAAATACAAAATGAAATTAAATCTGCCGTTTGCGATTGAACTGCGATAGAGACAATTAATCCAACCTCTCGAGCTCCAATCATTCACCGTTCCTGATCATCTGCATTGATCCCACTGAATTCGTATTACTTGCCGAACCGCTCAACGGCCGCTGAATCAGTCTCGCATACTCTGGTTAGTATTTGATGTACTTTGATAGAATGCGAACTGTCGATAAATAAAAACCCTCAAAGAAAAAAAAACACACCAAACGCGCTCAATGAATGAGGACCTCAAACGAGTTCAGATATTTTATGAAGACATACAAACACCAACATTAATAACCAGTTATATACTATTATCCAATCTGATAAAAAAGCTGCACTGTCGCGACCACTACGTTGATACTTTAAATATTACAACTTCTATTATACAATAAACAAACGGAATTGTAAATTTGTATCAAAAAACATTTTCTGAAAGAAAGATATAAAACGAAGTAATTGAGAATATATATATGTGTGTGTGTAGCATACACGTGTATATGAATGTGGCATATTGAAACAATATGACATTTTCATCTGCTGTCAAATGCATTGTATTCTATGTACTAAGAACGATGTATGTGTAGATTGCTCATGTGTCGCCATATATATATATATATATAATAAAAAGAACATTAACATCAATTTATACAACGAATGTCAACAAATGATAATGATGATTTAATAATAATGATGCTGATACTAATAATAATAATGTAATGATTAGCACGCTTCATAACTTTACTCGTATAAAAAATTATTAGCTGATCAACTGACTGCGTTGATTCATTGCGTATCGCTGCCAAATTGATTATGATTCATGGACTCCTAATGAGTGCGGCGAAATGATAACAATAGAATCCAGGTAATAATATCAAGCAGTTAGCATGACAACAATATCAATGGTTCTTATCATCATCCTATAGTAACGAGAAATGGACTGTGAGAGAATAAAATTCAGACGTGTTGATGTAGGGGTGCCGTACACACGAACAGCAACAAATTATCTTTCTCATTCATCTATGCTAATCTGATCAACTTTCTTGTAGTGATTCTAATTTTATCGTGAGTTTCCATTTCAACCTCCTCAGTTGATGATTCTATTAATCAACCGTAGAGTTTAGCCCAAAAACAAGTGAGACAACTGTGTGGTATTTGATTTTAGGCTGACGGCACAGTTTTTCGCCAGCGCCCGTGTCTGCTTCTATGCACTGATCATATTAAGTTTACATTGGCAAATAGACTTTAGTACTGGGTGAACATGAATGACCGGCACTCGCGGTCGCCCTTTTGCATTGCTTGAGTTTATGAATCAAAACCTAGTTCAAGTGTAGTTAGTCTTTGTTTATGCATAACTTAAAGAAATCTTTTATAGAGTGAGACATCAATCAATTAGCTTGGTTAGTTTTATGAAACTGGAAATGGGGTATTTGTTGCAAAATGTTTGCGTGTTTCGTTTCTAGTCTAAAAAGATTTAATTATTTTTGAGCAAAAACATTGTTTTTAAAAAAGCCTTACATTTAGCTGCTGCCTAAAGGAAATTAAAAGTTATGAAGAAATAATTAACAAGTTTTGACGAAACATTAAAGAAATTAAGCAACCTATTTCTAGTATACTTTTGAAAAATGTAATACTGAAATAAAGCCAAGTTTGGGTTTTTTTGCTTTGGAATATGGTTAAGAATTTTATCGAACCAAATAGGAAGATAAACCTTTAATCTGATTTGAATAGGGTATTCTTGTTTGTACAAAATGATTGCGCTAGTACTTTTTAAGCTTTTTCTAAAGTGGACATATAAAAATACATAGATTTATAGATCCTTTTGTACAATAGGAAATAATGCATTCGTGCATACATGCGTCAACCGACATATCGGACAAGAGTCTAAACTTTTAGCGAGACTAAAGTAAATGATATTCAAATAGTGCCAGCCATTGCCTTGCAACAAAGCCTATATTAATCAGAAAGCGTCTAAATCGATAACTATATACATATATATATGTATCTTGCATCACACATTGAGTCATTGGCTGTCATAGCGCCAGTTTAAGAAATGCATGCATACTTACGAGAATACAAGATCTGGACTAGGTTTACAGACCTTCATAGACATCCTGTTTCGAATTCATTCAACGCGCCTTGTCACTTTTCATGCCCATTTCAGACCTTGCCCCTTTAGTTGCGTTTTCAGCATTGCATAAGTAGAGCATACAGAAGCATTGCACTATACGCTACTGTAACATATACATCTACTTGTGCTCTTCTTGTCATGATGGGAAGCGCCGCCATATGTTAGTGGACTAGGCTTTATTATTATTATCGGAATAAAGGAATGCAGATAAAGTGGGGCTTGGAAAAACGCTGGAATCAGAAATCGTTTGCAAGGAGAAGAGACACGCAAACGTAATTTTTTCTCCCTTCTCCACTAAGCAAGCATGAAACACTAAACGGGAAGCCATTATCACCTACAATACATGTAATGTGATGTCCACGTAAATATTGCTATTGGTCTTATGACCATTAGTATAATAGGGTTCATCGTAAAATACCAGTGTTGACCACACGACTACAGCATGACACTGTGGTACAGACGATAATGTATGTTAAGTTGTCCGACTGACGTCTTGTCTTGGCGAGTTGAAATAGTAATCTTATTGTGTAGAAGCAACTCAGTGAACTCGGCGGTAAAGATAGCGGAATAGATGCGACGCTTAATCTATGTCGAACCATTAATTGACGAATAAGTCCAAACTTAATACTATTGGATAGGAAAAGAAAGGAAACCATACAAAAATACTTTATATATATCATTAAGGAATAAAATATAATAAAAATTAAAGCACGCGATTGTGTCAAGTCAACGAATATAGCTACATAACGTAGTAGGCGAGCAAAATTTCCAGGTAAATTTGTGGATTTGTATAGTAGAAAGCAAAGAAAGCAGGTATAACTTATCGTGAAAATGGAAAATGAAGCAGTTAAAGGATACGATTTAGAAACAAGTAAAAGTGGGAAAGTGAAAAACAAAACAAGTAAAGCGAAGCACACCTGTAACATAAAAATACATGATTGCTTAAGAAATAAAAACTTTGCCTCGATACAAGAAACATTCAGATGTGTTGTTATTAGAAAGAGAAAATATTTTTGTTAAGGTTAGATTCATATCTAAAACCGAGTATTACAATGGACTTGTCATTTGTGGTGTCGCAGAAATTTTCAAGGAGTAAACCATGAATTACATACGACCATTTCAGAGAATCGGTAAAAAATTGTGAGCGAAGTACATATCGCTGGTATACATTAGTTTCAAGATAATACAAAAAAATATATTATTTCATAAATACAACGTTTTCTTTAAAATAATTTAGTCACAGTACATATAATACTTTAAACAGCGTTAATGACAACTGTAGAAAAATTATTCCACAGCAGTGATTATTGCTGAGTGAGCTTATTTGTAAAGCCGGAGCAGCTGGTTTCCCATAATATACCGTCAATATGTTCTTCTACGACAATGAATTCCATACGTGCAATATATAAATTATAACATTTATTCTTTATAAGAATGAGAATATATACTATACGATGCTTATTTAATTTTACCGTTGTTTAACCCTACGTCGTCATTGCAGCCGAAAATACTGGCGATTTTCCTACATCATGAAAACCATTTTGAAAATGACTTTCTTAATCGAAGCAATGCGACAAACATATATTCATGTGTCCAATGTTACGTTTAGTGCAAGGGACCACTTCCCTTAAGCACACCCCAATCTTTCTTCATGAGCATACATTCCTACCTAACTCATGCAGCAACACACGTATATAAGCAAATCTAAATATACTAATATTGGTTGTCACAGTCACTTCTAGTTTTGATGTTGAGTCTGATCCTTTCAACCGGATAAACTCAGATTCACATTAAGTCTTCGTTTTCGTCGAGTTCTAGATCTTCTTCGGCGTCGTCAAAGGCCAATTTCTCCATTTCCATATCGATCTCTGCTTCAAGCAAGTCAACCTCGTTCGGTTCACTTTTTGACGGTGACTGACCTTGTTGCTGAAAAGCCGTTGCAGGTGCGGCGCCTGGTTCAGCTTGTCGACTGGCTTCTGGGGTTTGTGTATCGGACAGAACGATTGACACCCCTTGGGGTAACACGGTTAAAGAGTCGTGCGCCGAAACTTGTATTTGATCGGGGCGAGACTGTGTACTTGGATTGTTTTTTTCGATATGCTGTTTCGATTCGGATGCATACGGATGCAAGGCTTTTTCGACGAGTGGCTGAGCGAATCGTTCATGTTCCCGACTCTGTTTGATTACGTGTTCCTCGGCGATAAGCTTTCGAGAAGCGGGTGACTTGAAGTCGGGAATATCAAAGTGTTCTCCAGAAACAGCCACCTCCTCGATCAGGTTCCGTTCATGATTGGGCCTTACCTGAGGATAGATCCTTGCAGGCGCCTGGCGTCGTTTGGTCATCTCCTTCTTAAGGAACTGTTCCGCTTGTAAGCTCTCCTGGAAATCTGGGAATAGATTCTCATATCCCACAGGATCAGCTAGAGCCTGAGCTGCTTTCTCATTAGTTTGTCCAAGAAAGTCCTTCCATTTTCCAACGATGCGCGCCGTATGCGAGGGGGCGTAGCATTTCGCAAAAAAGGCAGCCTCCGGAAGCCGACCCGTCTCTTCAAGGATTGCTAGAGCTTTCTCAATTTCGCCTAATAGGAAATACGACAAAAAAGCAACATTGTATTTGCCAGCTGGTACCGCGTTTTTGGCTAGTTGCTGCACCGTATTAGCGTCACCGGCCGACGTAGCAAGTAGCAACATTCCAGGGAAGTCCTGCGCCTGGTGAAGACATCGCTGAGCTAACCCGAACTGGCTTTGAACCAGTGCTAGTTCTGCCAATTGCTTCCAGCGTTGTTCGGTAGCATTCTCTTGGGCCAACTGCAAAGCTGTCTTTAAATCGCCGAGCTGCAAAGCCAACTCAAACCTGTGCTCAGGGTCGACGGAGACAGCCAATGCCTGTTTCTTAAAGCCCTGTTTCTCAAGGAAATGGGCCACCCGAGTACGTTGCTCTTTGGGGATTATCGGAAGTACCCTATCTGCGGTGTCGAAGTCTCTGCGCATTACAGCCGTCTGATATTCTAGAACTGAAACAAGCAGCGAATAAGACACCACATTGAGCTCTTTATCGCCAAGGTACAGCCGACTTTCCTTCGGCAAATAGCCAAGTACGTACATAATCCGATCGAGGTGTGCAATTGTGACGATCTCGCCGCCAACATAATAGTTAAGCCGATTTACACTGTTCGTGTAGATGAAGCAGTCGCCCACCCATACACCTGTTTTAACGCATTCATTTACTTCGCTTAGCACGTCAAAAGCGTCTTCGACACCCTCCTCTGTTATTGCTTCTGGATTGGCATTAGCCACAGCTTCGGCATTGTACTTCAGTACAAAAAACGATTCTTCGGTACAGATCGCTACCATGTTGCCGTTATCGCTCCAGTGAACAGCCCTCGGTTGAATATCGATTCGACGAATAAGGTCAAGGGTTTCCCAGTCAAAGAGCGCGAGTCCCGATGACGACTTTACGGCGAGCAAGAAACCGCCGAATATTCCATCAGCGCCGTATTGGGGCTTGAAGGTCTTCTTTTCTTTGAAATTTTTGAAGATTTTTACTGTTGAGGCATTCTCTCGTACAGCGTACTCAGATGAATCTTGAGCCCAAACGAACTCTTGCGCCGAGCCGAATGACTTGCTCCGGAGGGCCATAGAGGTATAGATGATGTACTCACCATCACCACAAACAACTACGAAACGACCGTTCGGATTGTGTGAGATCGTTTGTGGGTAGATTTCGCAACTACCCATGTCCTTGATCTGCAAGGGTAACCGTTCTCCGTCTTTCACCTCTGTGTCGCCCATCGCCTTCAAGTTGGCCTGCTGTACTTCAGAATGTTTGGCCCAAATAATTTTCCCAGACGCATCCATCGACATGGCTGGTTCTTCACGACCCAACTTGATGAGGATCGATCCTTCATCATAACCCAACGCCATGTTGTTTGAGCCGGCTAAAGCTTGAATTGTCCACACACGTTCGAGTCCATAATTGAGCGTGTTCTCAAGGCGATACGTGTTGGCATGCCAAATCCTGACAGTACCATCTTCAGAGCCTGTAAGGATAACGGGCAACTCCGGGTGGAAGCACACTGCGCTAATATTCTGTGCGTGCCCATCAAGCGTTTGAACGCAGGCTTTGTTCTGGTAATCCCAAATCTTTACCTGACGGTCATCTGCTCCAGAGATAATGTATGGCTTTTCGCCGCCGTGATAATAGTCTACACAGTTAACTCCTTTTGAGTGTCCGTCCAATGTGAAGTTAGGCGTCGCTGAGCCCAGTTGCCATACTTTGACAGTAAAATCAAGCGACGCAGACGCAAACGTATTGTTATCTTTAGGGTTAAACACCACCTGCATAACGTAATGCGTGTGGCCCTCGAACACCTGCTGGCATGCCCACTGCCGGTCCCAATTCCAGAGTTTTATAAGCATATCATCTGATGATGTCAGAATGAACGGCTGAGTGGGGTGAACGGCTATGGAGCGGATGTAGTCACTATGAGCTTCAAACTGGTGCACCCGCTCTAGGGTGTTGTAATTGAACACGCGAACAAGCATATCGTCTGAGCCGGACACGATCCAGTTCTTCCGTGGAACAAATCGAGCAGCTCGTACAGGAACATCGCACACCTCAAACGTTTTAACCATTTGTTGGCTCTCATGATTCCATACGTGGATGTTGCCGTTGTATAAAGAACAGAGCATCCATGGCTCGGTTGGATGCAAATCAACGCATTTGACTCGATCTGACCGAGCCAGTAGCTTACGCTTCACATCAAGTTTCAGCGGCATCCTCGCACTTTACGCAATGCACACACACTTCATACAACCAAGGAAAATTATATTTCCAATCCCCGCCTTTTAACTACGTTACCCCGGCACTACTCGTAGCGGGTACACACACGTCAGTTTGATCATTGGGCCTCCAACACGTAAGACATAAACATTTATCTGATCAGACCGAACTCCCTCTTAATTGGCGGAACGAAGGAGGCACAAAACCTTCGAGCTGTGCTCTATTTTATTGTACATTCCTTTATTTGTGAAGTAAAGTGTAGTGCGACTGTCCTACATTATATAGAAAGTATCGTTGATACCTGTGTCGATTGTTTCCGACTACGTTTCATATAGAATAAAGGCATTTACAATACCGTCGAGATGATTATCAAGAGCCACGCTCTCGGATCAATGCTGTCGTCCCGTCAATTTAGCACATGGACTGATTTAAATAAGTCTGTATTTTCATTGTCTACAGGTGCACATTTAGGCGCGCGTTATACGGCAGCGATATTGTATAAATCCTCTTATTTGAAATATTTACTGGTTTGCTTCCTCAGCGTCGCTAAGTTCGGTTCATTAAGAATTTTGTAGTAGCTAATAGTGTTTCTGATCGACACTGAAGTTAGAGCAAAACCTCCGGCTACCAACAATGATAACTGTATGTGTTTCATCAACACAAAAAATACCCAAGCGTACCATCACTCACTAGTTTGCACTATAAGCAACTATAAAACAACTCAAGCTGACATTATATACCAATTGAATATCTATTATAAAACTGTACTCTAAAGGAATACGCGTGACTGTGAATTGAATTCAAACAGGATTTATTTGCCTTCTTATAATCCAACTTATGTGTGGGTGAATGAATGAACATCAGGCAGCGAATTTCCGAGGATACTATAGTATATAAATTGACAATACTCAATTGCATAATGCTCATATGGTGTCCATTCTTGCTTTACCGTTATGATCAGATCTCGAAATATAAACAAATTACAAAGCTGGTACTTTCAGCCATAATTAATTTGTAGTAGGCGGACGCCTTTAGTTGCGTGGAATGATCTGTATTCACCCTTTCTCCGTAAGAAAGAACGCCTGAGTGTTTTTTCTTGATTAAAATCGAACCACTGCGTTTTCGTATCATACGTGGTTTTGTTGTTACAGTTTTGGAGTTTCCTGATTAATATTTTAATAACTACGAAATAGCGAATAATTCTATAATAATGATTTATTATTTATTTTTAGAAATAGATAATAAGCGATTAAATTTCGTAGCGCGCTCATCGATTTGTCCAAAAATTAACTGGAAATTAAAAGATGTGCAAAGACAACATTTTACGTGAGTGTAAAACATTCGTCCGATAAGTGGGAATATATAATGCTATTAAGCATAGCAGCAGTTTGGAGAAAATCGAGCTCATTAAGCGAAGAAATAAGTCTAGTACTCCTGGAGCGAGTGTGGCAGGTAGCTGCTTCGCTAAATACAGTTTACCTACAGTTATTACATACATTTAGAAAAAAATACGCGTTGGTATCCCGATAGCTCTATTCTAACAAGTGGCTAGCCCGTTGTATCGATCTTTCATTGATACACATGCTCAAAGAGCTCATAAACACAGTTTTGTAATCGCACCCAAAAATACAGTTTAGCAGCGGCAAAGCCCAGCGTTATGCAATGGTTAGAGTAACACATAAATGTAAATAAATCTATGTAAATAAAAAAATATGTTTCAGTAGATGCTTCTCTAATTCATAGAACTTATGTTACATTGAACGAAAAGTACCCTATGAATGAAATGCCTCTAAAAATAAAAGAAAAACAGAGTTTTCGGAGAGTTTTCGAAATCAAATCGGTATAATATTTTCCGTCACATACAGGTAATAATAGTCTTGAGTTGTAATATCTTTCAGGGACATGTTTGAATATAATACATAAGTAAGTAATAATGTAATGTGCAAAAGAGACGCAAAGTTAGGGCCGTCGCCGGTGGTACCTTGATCACAAAAATTATCTTTTCTTTTTGGTGTCCTGGAAACTATTTGCGAATTATAAATCGATAAGGTCTCAAGTAGGTTTCATGCCATTGAACTGCAAATCACTACTTTAATGAAATGTATTAATACTGATTCATCTAAGATTGCTAAAATTACATTTAGTTAACGGCTATCTTAATTATCAACATGTTTCAGCCAGAATTTTCGCCATCCCAAGCAGTTCACTTCTGTCTTAGCGCATCTCTGAATTCTTTGATAGGCAATCTGTCTAAAAATCAATATAGGTCTTCATATATGTATATATATATATAAAGACCTATATTGATTTTGATGAGCAAGAACTGCTATCGATCTTTTTTAACATGCTGCTCTCGAACCATTCTACATCACTCCATCAAACTGATACGTCTGAGGATGCACTCCTAAAGTAACCCTATTTTGCTAAGCGCTGTCGAATTTAATTCCAGTTCTAATCACACAAGCTGAATCACTCCCTACGGATCGCTCTTTAAGATTGGGATCAAGACACGGTTTAAGTTATGAAACTTTTTTATGAGTCGACAGGCGCAACCGAAGCTTATCGAAACATCTTCTGAGGGTGAATTTTAAATTCATAGTTCCTTCAAGGATCTGTCAGGGTAGGTAGCTCGATACGGCTAACCTAAAAACGCATATGCTTCGAGTTTTATATGCGATAGTGTCGTTAAGCATTAATTCATATGGCTGGCAATCTGGGTGGACCAAATCAAAGAAGAAATTACTATAATCATCGCCTTTTCTATTGCTTGAATTTCTAGCGGGGAACCAAACTTTTTAAGACTATTTGAACCTTGACCACCATTGCGCCTCCTTGGTTAGTAGCCAGCCACGTTACCACTACATGACCGCTGGGGCAATTATAACCTTACTGTCGCTCTACTGATTTCACCCTAATGCATATACAACGCAAACGTTAAGACAAAAACATCAGACCATAATCCACCTTAACCGACGGAAGGAACGAAATACAAAAGCTCGGAGCTGTAGCCTCTCTATGTACAAGCGTCGTTATATATAAACCACAAGGTAGCGTTTCATATTGAGCCATTAATATAGACTATATTATTTACGAACAGTGCAATAAAATATTTATAATGTCTTTGAGATTCTCGCAAGCAGTCGCGAACCCCATACACTTTGCACGTTCCGTCGATTTACCGATGCGTGGAAGGTACAGAGTAAGCTGACCGTCTTTTCATCGTCATAAACAGTTTGCGAAGGTCGTTTTGTAGGATAGTTGCAGTGTGATTTCCAGTGTGTACAGCCAGGTAACACAAAGCAAAATGCAGCGTGTGCTTACTATCGCTGTGCGGCGATTTGCCAGTGAAGCCAAAGGTGCACAAGATTACGCGGCTTCGGAAAAACTTTGGAGGAATCTCTCACTCTTTGTCTGCTTGCCAGCCATGATAATATGTACGATAAACTCCTACATTGCCGAGAAAGAGCATCACGAGCACTTCCAGCGTCCTACGTTTGTGAAGTACGACTATCTGAAAATCCAAACGAAGAAATATCCATGGGGAGATGGACAACGCACGCTTTTCCACAATCCGAAAGTCAACGCTTTGCCTACCGGTTATGAAGATGAACAGTAAAGTCGGCCTGTAGTATGGACGAAAAAGCGATCAAAGAGAAAGCTTGCTAAGAAAGAAAGAAACTCGGGAGATCGGGGTGTCGTCTACCATCTCGGTGCTTTGGATCAATAAATACTTGCTCGTTTTTGGGATTGATTTTCTGAACTGATCGAGAATGCAACGACCTAGTTGTGGAAATTTAGCAGTGAAGGCCCATTCAAAACAAGTAACCATTAAAATCGACTTTTAAGGCAATACAACCGATTTATTAAAATTAGGAAAGGAAACTGAATAAGTGTGAGCTATTATAATAAAAGTTACGAGGTAGTGTGTCACTTAGTATGTAATTAATAAAAAGTCCTAACAAAAAATCGTAAACTGACCGTGTAATACGTTCACAGCGTTTAGGTATAGCTAGGTTCTTTTTTTAGCTTTTTCCACACATTGATTCCTTTAACTAAAAATAAGGTTGTGGAATTATGCAAAAGCTATTTACTATTTCATCAAATTATGGAATTTTGCATTGTAATTCTACCCTTATAATTTAAAAACCATAGCAAATTCTCCAGGAAGATATTACCTAGAGTTTTATTTTATACTGATTTTATCAGGTGCTTTAATTTCTGTAACGCTATCGAGTTTAGCATTTCCAAAAATGTCCGGGCACAGAACTAACAATTAGGGTCGCTGTAGCAGACAATAAAAAAATGGTGCAATTTATATTCATTTTGCTTGAAATTTTCAAGGGATTTAAAACTTTTTATACTCGAAATATAAAATCTGTAATTATTTCAAACTATTATTTCAAAAATTCTAAATGTAAAATCTGTGCTTTTTATCAATTAGCAGGCATCGCAAGTTCGGTAGCTTCTCTTTTTTATTTTGTTAGCGATATCGATATTTTTTACACATTATACAGTGAATGCTAAATTTCTTTAGATTTGTTTTCGTCAATTAATTTTTCATTAAAATTGTCATACATAAATGTGAATATGTTCACCCTAGATGGGCGCGCCAGTGGCTTACGAGTAAGCTATATAATTTTCAATCGAGTAGCTTATATATTTCGGCTTCGTTAATCAAACAGACGTCAATCTGTCAATCAATCCGAAAGCGCCTAGAAATATAATAATACTCTGTACCATTCTCATCATAAGTCTATTATTCCATCACTGGACCCATTTTGTCAAGGTTTTGAGAACATTGTTTTTTCCTTCCGAAAAAAGAATATGCAGTGGTACAGAAAATTTCCAGCTGGTTTTCAAATTACGTAGCTCCGGAAGTTAAAGAAAAAAGCAATATCCGGGATTTATTAGTGAATTATGCGCTAGAGAGACCGCAATCTGCCACATTATATGATTCCCTTAGGTGCATACAAATAGAAACTATAACATTCAGCTGTTGTCGACGGCAACAAAACCAGATATTATAATGTCATAGGGTGGATTTATTTTAAGTTAATCACCATATTGTAAGTTAACTATGTTTCGATGGTACCAATTGCTTCCTAAGTTACAAAATATGCCTTCTTAAAATAAAAGTATACACCAGCAACAATCACTTTTTTTTTATAAAATAAAAGTATTTATTGCCACTCCTCAAAACATGTACCTGTACGCGAATACTAGTTTCGAATTAATGAATTTTATAGGCCATCGCGGTCGTGCTTTCGCCGATATGTTTTCTTATCACGGGGTTGGGCGTACCATCGATGTTTATTCGTGTACGTTATTTTCCTGAGGTACTCTACCTCGTTTCGAATATTTCGGAAGAACAACGGACGAGTAGGAAGCTTCAAAGCGGTTGAAGCCTGAAACAAAAGTCACACTTGTCATAAGACATTGTATATATATTCTATATAAATATAGAATAATAAGATAGATTCAACCCTGCTATGTTGTACAACACAATATGGTTGAATCGACACAAGCAATACTAATTTTTGTTGAACGGCGGTTCACGTAAAGAACACGACGCTTTTCGAGGCCGCATAGGGTGAATTATATATATTACACTTAGCAGAGTATTCCGTCAAATACCCTATTAAACTCGCGTTAGTTCATAAGTAATGACGATGAAAGGGAATACGCAGACACCAAAATCATGTACCTCTTTGGCTGCCTCACGGATTTCCTCCTCAGTGGCTTCTAATGGTCTGGTGTGTTCGAATGGGACATCCCTTTCTGGGTGCCAAGCCACAAAAAGCCGGCAATTTGCCGCAGGAACTACGAGGTCTCGAGTCAACGTATCCTCACTATTTTTCGTAGGGTTTATCGAAGAAGAGCTAAATTTGAGATTGTCTTTCGTCGCTCGCCATCCGGATGGTGTCAAAGCTACTTATATGGACGCAAGAAGAAACGACGCTTGCTAAGAATAAAGAACCATTAGAAGGACTTGTGCAATGTGGGTAAAGGTGCAAGCCTTGCCCGTCTACAACGTATCGTAAACATAAAAAAACTTCGTTAAAAAAAGTTTGTTCAAAAAATATTTCTTTAAAATTCGTTTTTCATGAAATAGGCGCTATTCCAAAAGGCACCGTGTATAAGCGAAAAAAAAAAACAATTTCAATTGGTAAAACTGTAATTAAATTCTAATACATTTTTTGGACAAAGTTATCTTATTTAGCAACAAAGACACCACATCTCCCTGATAGTTCCTACGTTTTTCGTTAAAGCCTAATTGAAATGTGTTAGATAGTGCTCCAGATTCTATCGTCAAATGTTTATAATCCGCTGCTTCTAGTTCAGTCGAATGGAGATACACACTTAAATGCATTTATTATTAGGCAGATACTTCGCTGAATGATGCATTTGTGTTTCAATTTACACTTTGTTGATAAGACGCATGCAATATATCTGATTGCGATTAGCAGTTATAGTAGGACTTAGCTATACCTAAACTGTGACGGTACAAGATTTAGCATATAATTAAACAATCTGTTAAGCACTTTATGAGAACGCTATAATTAAACTAGTCTAGACATTGTTCTTTTTTACAATTATCCACTGATTAAGTAGGAGATTGAGCACACGTTGCCTAGAAATGCATACATTCTCTCTACTTTTTTTTTAACTACTCTTTAAGCGCGTAATTCACTCACTAAACCTCTGTGCGATAGTCGATAGACGAAACATTTGGAAATATTTAATTCCTCACAGAGCGCGCACGACCATAGAGATGGAGCAATCGCATACCTCGAACAATTCGACTGCAAATGTGGCGGAGTAATATACAACCATTTGACAACAAGCTTTAAATATTTAAATCACATCGGTTATACATTAAATCTCAATTAACATTTTAAGCCTATCGATCCCAGTGGTCTGACGCTCGAGTGGTTTTAAAACAGAGTTTATGACCTTTTTTGTTCAAATGTATCAAGTGAAAATTTCGGCGCTGGTTGCCGTCGGCTTCTCGAGCTGACCGCGTCACGCGAAGAAGACTCTGTTTATGTTTATATACAACAACACAAAACCCAAGGATCCCTGCAGTGGGACTGATAGCATGTCCGGAGGCCGTGTCTGTCTGGTCGAGCACTCTGTACATTGTCATATATAATTAAGCGTGCTATGAGTGAAGTAGCAATGTCGGAGAGTAAAGAGACGCTTGAAGCGCTCGACTCAATTAGCGTTCCCGATCAGGACCAGTCAGTCGAGATGCGAGAAGCGGGTCCCGAAGCGACTGCCGGCGCCGCAGCCGGCCCACATCAACTGGTTGTAGTGCACAATCTCACCAGCTTGGACGGGACCCTTGTGAACAACGGCACGCCGGGAATCACCACCCCCAGCAAAGGGACAAGATACCGCCAGCGGTACCGACGAGAATGGGAGGATATTCCCCAATTCAAAGGTAAGTCAGCTTCGATTTGTGACAAGAGAGATTGCCGAATGAGAGACCTCTTCCCGCGCTCTGACTGTCGACCGGCTATTAGCTCGATACCCCTGCCCTGGCGCCGCTGTCTTAGCGTCCGCCGATGTGGCGGGGTAGGGACCTCCAGTGGACACCTGTCCGCTGTCAAAAACACTGACCGCCTCGACTCACGCAGGACGTCGGGAGCGGTAGGGTCTTGGGGATATAAGCGTGGGTGGCAAGCATTCGTCACATAATGGAATAGTTGCTTCAGTCTGAGTGGGCAGCACCTATGAATATAGATGGCCAGCTAAGCCTAATGGCTAAATAACAATTTCTGTCTCGTAATGTTGTCGCTCAGGTGGCGGGAAATTCGAAGCGATAGGTGGGAGTTGGCTGTGGCGGGCGACTCTCTCTAGTATAGTCGTATTTATATTATATATATACAATTCCCGTTCAGTCAATTGTTCTACCAATGTAATTGGGTCTTGGGCTTGAAGGTAATCCCGCCATTACGCATGACCACGTGCTTCTGAAAAATGCGTCATCGTACACGTCACTTTAAACATGGCTCAATGGCCGATTTGATTTACAACTATATGAAAAGCTTAGAAGAACAATCCTTCATCAATTAAGTGAAAAAGATCGAATCCTTTATGGATGAAATCGATTCGACGACAGCGCTATGTTGGTTTCTTTAAAAAAAAAAGTATCAAAAATAGGTCGATAGAGAATTGATAGCTTCTGACGAGCAGTTCATGACCTTGAATTAGACCATATCATATCTTCTAATTCAAGGTCTATAAACATCTATATACATCTATGTCCATTACTTCTACATGTTAACAGGATACCGTCTGAAATGAACGGAATGCGTTATGTCGCTGCAAGCCGCTGAATTTAATTCACTTCATGTTAGCTATACTCACATATCAGCCTTTATTGTTTAGTTCCGAAAGTAAATGAAAATTTGCAGACTTCGTGTTGCCATACAATAAGCTAGTCACCTAAAACGAAGGTTAATGTAATGATAAAGTATTTGGATGGCTTTAGAACGTCGTGCGTTTGCTATATGCTTATTCGCATGAAAATGTTACGAAGAAAAGTAAGTTGACTGAAAGCGAATGCCATCTACATGTGGACATTTAGAATTGTAGTCACTCTTGAAAAATCTTAGTCAAAGATTAATAAAAATGGGCACGATTCACTCGCCTAGAGATAACGCTGCATATTATAACGTGCTATAAAATATGATGTTTTAAGACGCTATCTCACCTAAGACTGGGAACATTTATTTAGATATGCGTGATAAAAGTACAGTTTTATCAGAAGTCCAGTTCTGCTCGGGATAAATTCATTCATCATTTGGAATTCATCACAAGTATGAGTCATTCAGTCCGACGATTTCCTATAACGGCTGTTGAGAAACTTCATTATTGTTTTTTTTCCATAGATTTATCTGTCACTTAATCCGATCCGGGTGAGGAATCCCTTTTGACAGTTAGAGAATCCTTTATATTTGTTCAATAATTTTAATTCAATATATATAAAGTGACTTTTTCAAACTGTCAAGAGACTTTCGCTGTGCCCTCTATTACTATCAATACTTGGCTAGAAATACTTGGCTTGGACTCTTGTCAGAGTTCGTTTACGTAATCGACATGGAAACGCATTGCTCAAGTACAACTTTTATAACATGTATCATTTCGGATATCCAACGGCGGTGTGTGAGATTTAATTATTTTGCACATAAGGAACTAAATCAAAATTTGACTATTAGATCTCTAATTTAGCCTTTTAGAACAGTCAGCCACTAGCGTAATTGCGATCTTTTATAGCATAAAACTGTTCTAGGTATTGTTCGATAGCATTGCAGTAGTTGCTTTGTTCATAATGATACTTGCTTGGCCGGTTATGGCAGAAGTCATAGTGAGGCTGGATCGTGGGCCAGTTTTGGATAAATCGCTTGTTCTAATTTGGACATCTGCATAGATTTTTTCAAGGATCTTTCGCGTAATAAAATGTTCGTGTAGTAAGATGTCTGTCAAAGACTTCTGTCTGTTTAAGAATAAGAAAAAAAACAAAGTCCGAGAAACACATGTAAAGCTTGTACGGCTACAAGGTCGAAAACGCGCACCTTACGTCTCTTACCTTATGTATTTAAAAAGGCTAAAGACGAAAGTTATGTGACGCATCAAACCTGCGGCAGCCAAGAAAAATAAGTTAGCAAGTACTTGAATTTAATTAGAGTGCACAAGCGATGAATGCTTGTGTTTATATTGTTACTTGTGTTGCTATCGACATCTTCGAATTGGCATATGCATTTCTTTTGGTGATACTGCTGCTATTGCATTTGGCATTGCAATAAAAACATGTGTAAAATCAGAGGATGAGTGTCATAGTATCAGTACATATTTCTACAAAAAAAATTCTTTTTGCTATATCCCGCAAAAGTTTTTGTTGATATCCTTGTCACATTAATAGCGATAAGTGCAATTACCATTTGCGCTTGCAAGGTGAAAATATGAAGCAGCAGTTGAACTGTTTGGGGGCACAAATAGGTTTTAATCCACTTAGTCTTCGGTTATTACTAAGAATCAGTAAGTTAAGGCAATTGACTATTCTGAATTGGTGGCTGATTCGTGCATTCTTTGCAGCGTTTGGGTTTATATGGTTAGTAATGACACTTGATAAAAACTGATGACAACAAACCACGCACAGACATGCCTCCCCGACACCACCATGAAAGCACCAACTTATATGTCCGATATGGCACATACAAATTGAAAAAAACGAGGTAGAAAGCTACTGAGACTGTTATGGCAAAGTGTTTATTTTTAAACTTGATGGGGTAGTCGAAATTTGAGAACGGGCATAGGCAAACTGCGTTTCGTACTGAAAGGAACTAGCCGTTTAAAGCGACTCTTAATTACGGCAGTACCAGCGGAGTTAAAAAGAACTCGAAACACTATGGTCCAGTGTGGGAACTAAATGCGGTAATAACAAAGTGCAACAGTGTTGTTCATGGCAGTGAGAGAGTAATTGCGTATGGTACTGGGTGTATCGCACTACAATGCTTATTTGTTCAAGCTTATTGCAAAACGTTGACAAAAAGCCCATTAGAAATTTATATTTATATTGGAGATTTTATGGACCTTTTATATAATATATTTGATTTTTTCCTTATTTAATGACATTTATCGTGTAGTGCATGCCATTACATACAGCATGAGACAAACGTAGATTTACAGTGAAAAAGATAAAAACGTACAGATAGGCAAATGTTAAGCTTATAACTGGAGCAGCATGCGTATTAACCAAAAATATATTTTCTTTCCTGTATATATATATATGTTAGTTCGTGGAATAATGGTTTTGTAGTCGAAACAATAATCGTACTGTTCGCCTGACGATTCATATTGAAAAACTTTTTAGAGGTGTGAGAAATGTCTGCATCAAATACATCACTTGGAATAGAACTTAGTGTTCTTCTCTAATTCTAATATGATCATCCAACGAGTGTATGCTTGTTGTAGTCTGTTTTCAGTAACCAAAATAAAAATATTCCATTAAAATAATTATGTAATACCTTCACGCGTGTCTTGTAATTTTCAGGTTGGCTGAGCTGTGTGCCGGAGAATCCATGTCTCGCGTTATGCAAACACTGCAAGATTACGTTCACAGCAAAAATATCCGATATAAAATCGCACTCAAACTCGAATCGGCACCGCGCCGCGTCAACAGGGACTACGTCGATTTTTAAATACAGCAAAAAAGTTATGGGATCGACTGTCAAAAGCACGGGCGTTCCGTCCCTCGACGTAAGCGTAACTCATATATTAGACACACGACCTAAACCCATATAAATTGACACTGTATTTTATCCACGCGAACGAACAGTGGTGTTTTATAGACGAATAGGAAGAACACACTTATTGGATCAAATAACGTGGTTTTTAACAATGTGTTTGAATTCTGGAAAAGAAAGCTATTGCATTATGTACCGATTTTTCCTGCTTAGTAGGTAAGTATGCAGCAATAGTTTTTCATGCAGGCCATTACAATTAAATCATTATTGGCATTGTTTAGGCGACAAATATTGTGTCGATGTACCGTGAACTCGCCCGAGTCCCTCAACCTGTGGATGCGTTTGCTTCATATACACCTGACGGACGGACCATTCATTTAACTACAGTGTGGGAAAGTTCCGACACGGAAATGGGTAAGAAAGTTCGCTTTACAAGGCATCATACCTCTGCGTTTGATAATCAGGGCCCGCTATCATTTCATCAGGTCGGCCATGCTCAGGAGGTCGAATCCAAGTAAGTTCTAGTTTCAAATCATTTTTACAAAGCTGGGTTTTACCCTATTTCTGGCGTGTATATTTAATAAAGCTATAAAGAAAAATTAATTATTCTTAGAATCGTCATTTTCACTTGCATTTACATGAGAGTGAATGATTGTACGACATTTTAATGTTTACAGTTTTTTTTGGTGGCTTTACGGTTGTGGTGTACTTAAATAATATTTATTTTATTGTACCTAGTTCACTGATAGCGATCTCGAATAGCGGCTCTTTCCGCGCGGTGCTAAAGGAGGTGACTCGAAATTCGGAGACCAGACAGTACATCGAAATTTGGGATGCCACTACAAAGTTAGACTGTCTCGATCTAGAGTCGGCCGGAGTTCACGGCAAGGTTCACACAACGGGCAGCTTTGCCTCCTTCCAATGGGGTCACATTGAGAACAAGCTGCTCTATATTGCAGAGCGAAAACCTGCGAAAAAGGTGCGCGTAACTTATATGCATATGATTTAGCATCAAATAAGATATATTTTCTTCTTCTGTTGTTTGTTCATATATATATATATATATATATATATATATATCCAAAAACAACTCAAGTACTCTACTGGTCAAAGAAAAAATAATGTTTCGTTAATAGATTAGTTAGATTAGTAATGATCTGTAATCTGCTTATTCACCCTTGGACTTCTGCTGTTTTTGTTAAGGACTCATACTTCACCCGTAAGTTGGCGTTAGACGCCGAACGTGGTACCGAATATCAGTTGGACGAGTCCTATGGAGAGCAGCAGGAAGAGCACGTTTCTCCTGTGATCTGTGTACTCAATGTTGCTAACATGGCCGTCAGCGTTATTCAAGATTTTCCCGATTTGTGCGCTCCTGCCCAGGCCATATGGGCACCCGACGATAACGGTAAGTTACAGCGAAAATGCTGCGTAGACAAGTACCTTCACTTACCTATGGTTAAAGGATGTTTGGTTTGTTATCAAATCAAAGAAACGAAGTCATCCTTTTGGAAGCTTTTTTGTTTTTTTAGAACCTTTGATACTAGCATGGAGGTCTTTGTGGATATTTGCGGATGTATGTGTGCATCCTCTATATAGGTATCGTGTTCGTTGGATTCCAACAGTACGCCTATAAACTAGGCTTGACCTACTGCAAAAATCGTCATTCGAAACTGTATGTCTACGACTTGGAGCAGCATACCTTTTGCACAATTGGCGAAACGGACAAAGCTATCTATTCGCCAAGGTAGGTTAACGAAGTCAATATGCTAAACCTTTTTTTGCAGAAAAAGAGGATTATTTTAAAAAGCATCTTGAAGCTCGTGTTGCATATAACTGCATAGGGTTGTTATGCTATCGGCTATCTAGAAAAACCTATTTAACTATTTTTGTTATACATACCCGTACTTTTACGACGCGATTACCGAATTAAAAAGGTTTAGTCCGGATGGAACGACATTGGTCTATCTTCAAAGCGAGGTGGGTGGACCTCACGGTCAGAGCTGTCAACTGATGAAGTGCTCCTGGGAAAAGAAGGAAATTCTACTTATCGTCGATACCATTCAGAACCCAACAAGTATGTCATTTATCTTGTATAGGATTCTTCCTATAGATTTTTGCGTGTCTCATCGAATTGTTTTTTATTGTTTAGCTTGTTTATCCCTAAATTCCCTAAAGTATTATATGAGACGTAGTATCTCTTCGAGTTCGCTGCCCTGTTACCATTAAGAGTTCAAATTTTAGCATTGACTAATAATGCTTACATAAATTTGCTGAGAAAATCTAAACCTGATTCAGGTATGTACCATGTTAGGTCGGATAGCCGAGAACCAAAAAAAGTACATGACATAATATACTTAACATCGAAGTTGATATTCTGCAGTGTAAGCATGTCCTTCGCGGGTTTTGGTTAGGTGACAGGTGGGTCCAGGTACGCCGTGGGCCCCATCTTAAATAACCTTTGTAATAATAAAATAAAATCTCAATTTAAATCTGGAGCAACTCATTATATAGAAAAAATATACCGAAATAAGCCTATTGTAAAGGAAAAGAATTCTAAACACTGTGCGCCTGTGATCTCTTTAGTGCTGATAACAATTTACTAAGTTCTGATATGTCCACTTATTCTTTTACAACATTCTATAGACCTTTGTTATTATATTCGCTGTTTGAGCTGTGTTTAGTGAAATGGCAATGAGTCGGCTTTCATAGATTTTTTTTCGACTCGTGATTTTTTGAGGGTCAGCGGAACGTACCTAGGGGGTCAGTTTTCTCGGTCCAGTTATAATTGAATCAGTTTTTAACTATTTAAATAAAAACAGTTACCAATAATAACCATGTCTCTCTTCTTCGTTGTCGTCGTCGCTGTTTGATATTCAGGCCTTGAGTTTCCTGGCCTTTATATTGAGGAACTGCCTCGCCATTGTTGGGCGGCTGACAACATAACCGTTGTAGTATCATCAAACTGGCATTCGAAGGTCGAACTTCTCGCTGTAAATACTCTTAGTGGCGATCTGATTAAATTGAGCAGAGATGAAGCTGTCGGCCGCTGGCAGGCTCTATGTATACGTGATAATATTGTTATTGCATCGCTGTCCTCCCTCAACGCCATGCCACAGGCAAGTAACTAGCTGTTAATAATGTTTGTGTCTTGGGATTGCTTTTATGATTGTATAACGTATTTAGCCAAATTTTTGCAAAAAAAGTACGTTGTTTAAAACCCAGTAGGTGCAAGACGTATTTTAACTTTGAATACGCGTTCAAACTAATTTTATTCCTTGGCTATCTTGCAGGTCGCAGTTGGTGTGCTGACAGCTGATGGCGGAGTGAATTACTGGGCATCGATCGATTCCGATGAGTCAAAGGTGCAGGGAATTTGCTGGTACATTTTACAGTTTGCCCCGCCTGATGACAGCCACCAGATCTTCGAAGCCATTCTTATATCGCATAAAGTAAGAATTCCAATACCATGTGCGCGCTACACAGGATCATTCTATATAAATGCTAGCTATTAATTTGGTAATTAGGTATGATACTTAAGGAGTGCTAAACACGTTATATTGTGGCTTTATTAGGAATTTTGAATAACTTGTACTCAATATTATAATCGTTTTGCAGCTGCTTTTCGTATATTCGAGTAAAAACATTTTATACTAAATATTGTATTGGTTGTGTTATTTTTGAAAATTAGAACGAGAAAGAGCTTCCGCTGATTGTGTGGCCACACGGCGGTCCGCATGCCGTGTTCCATGCCGGTTTCCAGGTTTGGCCAATTCTTTTTGTGAAATGTGGTTTTGCGGTTCTTCTAGTCAACTATCGAGGATCGATCGGTACGTATCTGTAAAATTCATTCGGGTTGGTGTTTAGTTCGATAGAGTCGAAATAAAATAATTCTAGCCTCTATATTCTGTTCTTGTTTCCACTATGCAACAGATATTTACTGCAAACTGCCTAAACAGAATTCCAGATAAGGTATATATATATATTGGTTTTATCATGGTATAGAATGAAAATATCGTTCTTATCATTAATGATGCATCCGCCCTAAAACGTTGTTTGACGAGATTATCAGGGTTGTTGTAATAAAGTATTATACTTTTCTAATTATTATTGTTATTAAAACTTTTTGAAGGGTCGGTAGATCTTGAAATTCTAGGCTATTGAGAATTACGAATTTCTATGTGCCGCGCGTTTTTTTTAAGCATTTAAGTCCTGTTATTTTTCGTTTCTAGGATTCGGCGACGAGAATCTGCGCTCTTTGGCAGGAAAGATCGGCGTACAAGACGTTTTTGATGTACAGTGCGCCGCCGAAGTGACAGCCCAGCGTGAGGAAATTAATCCGGCAAAAATTGTTATTTTTGGTGGAAGTCATGGTGGATTTCTTACAACCCACGCCATTGGTACGTTGAGGTACTCATATTATCAGAGAGAGGTTCGAGCTTTGTTTATTGATGCTACATAAAGCTTTGCCTGCTTGTATGCGTTACGTATTGGCTGATCGGTTGAATAAGTTCGAAGTGTAGCTGATATACTGAGCTGGCTAGAGACCGCAAATGTGGACATGTTTGCAATAGTTTTTTGTTTAAATTATATAAGTATTACATTCCCTTCTTTATCAAGTGATAACAAGAAATTGTTCTAGAGACAATCATATTTAGAGCATCGGGTCACACAAAACCGATAGAGTAATACCGCAGATACCTTTGTTTGCTTATCGAACTTCCTCAGCTAAGCTATCATTGCACTATTTTGTTCCTTTTATTCTATCCATTCGCTTTGATTATACACGCTATCAATATGATTTTCAAACAAATGACTGTCGATCGTTTACAGGTCAGTATCCAGAGTTCTATAAAGCAGCGGCTATGCGCAACCCTGTCGTTGATCTGTCGATGAACGGTCCCACAGATATTCCTGACTGGTATTGGTATGAGGGTGGACTGGCTGGTGATTTCATGTTCGACAGTTTGCCGGATGGGGAAGATCTTAAAAATCTATGGATGAAAAGCCCTATCCGATACGCTAAAAACGTAAGTCGTGTACCCATGTAACTAACTTGTGTTGTATCCGTCGACTTAGTTAATTTTGGGTTACTTTTTTCTGTCCAGCTGAGACACTCTGGAGACTGTTAGCAATTTCCTGAATACTCTGCCGTTTACCAAAATGCATTTCTAACGTTACAGATTATGACACCAACATTTTTGCTGCTGGGTAGTGAAGATCGACGCGTTGACATGGCTCAAGGCATGAAACTGTATAAGCACCTCAAAGCAAGAGGGGTGCCTACTCGATGCAACGTCTATAATGACGGCCACGCCCTATCAAAACCTGCACATGACGCAGACTGCTTTGTCAACACCGTACTGTGGTTTAAAAAATTCCTTGCCTAAGCAACTTGCGGGTAAACGTTGACCCACATCAGAAATGGAAGTTGCAGATTCGACTAACGATCTCTAACTCTAGAGGGGTGCGTTGAAGAGGGTTGTGCTGACAGAGGCAGGGGCGCCTGAAGTTTCTGTACAAATGGGGTAGAGTTAAAAGGCGATTGGACGGAATCCTTCGGAACGTTCGCCTGTGAGGCGGCTGTCCTGAATAACAACCAGTGTAGCGGTAAAAACGCGAAAATGGCACAAGGCGGGATTAAAGTACAGCCGCAGGACTCAATACACCGGCAAGAATATTTAATGCTGGTCAGCTAATTCAGTTAAATTAATTAACGTGTGGATACAAACATTTTTGTTTCAATCATTGTGTGCGTGCATGTGCATATCTAAATCCTTGGCGAACGAATGGACTCTCTGGATCGGGATCTTGAATCGGGGGGAGGGACTTAGGGGAACGTCTATTCAACTTATTTGGAATTTTCACTGAGACGGTCATTGCTCCATTTCTGCTGTGCTGTCACAAAATATCCTCAGTTGTATACTATCGTATTTATACTTTATGATATTAGTGGGGAGTGGTCTAAGTGTAACCAAGTGTAAAAATTCACTTGCGATACAGTTTCTTGTGAAAATCATTCTTACCCATTGCTCGTTCGGGTGAATAGTCGTATTGTATATAATCATGTATATGAAATGACCGAGACAGATTACATACTATGTAGTAACTGCGCACGTACATAACCATATGCATTCATAATCATATTCCTTGGCATTCGATCGTCCTGATTCACCATCAGGGCCCTATATGGACACCGAACACAGCCTTTGTACTCTGCCTCCTGGATCATTGTTATTTCTCAGCAAAACAAATATGCATCACAGTTCCGCAATATATTCTAACTGCTGAGAAGAGAGAATTCAAGAAGCCTACGAATTTTCCTCGAATTTTCCCGCACGTCCTGCTCGTGCAAGGCTATTTAATCTTTGTAAGATGGTATACAATTCATTGAATAATAATATTGGACATCATTGTTTATCTGGTCCAGATTACGTCGCATTTATTAATGTATAGCAAGCTATCATTGAAAGCAAAATAAACAATTTGATTAGCAAAACGTTCCAGAGGAGTGTGTGCTTAATAAGGATTTCATTCGGAATTGAAATCTTTTCCAGTAAGTACTAAAAGTACGTCTAGAGCTACAAGATCTAGCGGCAAAGAAGCCCGACCAAACTTCGATGTGGCTGTCACAAACATGAGGAAACAGACAAGATTTACGCAAAATTATGCCCTAATCCGTCATACTTTGAGCCGTGTGCAATATGGATCCATGCCAAACAAATAAACTAGGCTTCGCTGCTGGTTTGCTAATACACGCGGTAGGCTAAGGTATTTTGCAGAATAAGAAAGTGAGTAATAAATGGTATTTTCACCCTAAGAAATTTATGTTAAGCAATGTTGATGAAAACCTGTATTCACTCAGTTGCAGTGCACAAAAATACACAAAAAGAAGCCGATAGTTGCATTACAATGATAATTTGAATATCGCCGCATAACTAATTTTTATATGCATGAGCATGCTGGCATGTTACTTCGACCAAATCTAGATACCATATAATGTTACCAACCTAGTTATCAGTATTGGAAGACACGGCCGTCTGCAGCAATACCTAACCGGAGAACTGAACGTCAAGCATTTAGTTGACAGTGGCATATATTTACCACAATTGCGGAAAGCGAAATATATATCCTTAATTGTGACGCAAAAGAAGTAATTGGCATGGCGTACTTGAATCATACTCGAATACGGCTGACATCAATTCAAAGAAATCACTGCGTGCAAAACAGGGTGGAAAAGAGCCATAAGGTTTGGAAAACATCGTTGTTTCGCCCATTTTGAAAAATACCCAAGAAGATATGGAACTATTCACCTAGGTTATAGCGCACCGATAATCTAACGATTTTTTTAACTAATTTTATTAATAACTGAATTAATTTTAGTACTTAGGACTACCGGTTGTTTCGATTAGCAAAATTCAAAATACTTTATTTGAAGAGCCACTTAGCTTTCCGCTGTTGCAAGTTTCCAACAGGAATCGCTAAAAAATAAATTCGATTTTCTCGAACCTAGATGTGGCCTCTAGCACGCTTGGTGTGCTCTTGCAGAAGCGCCGCAATGAAATAATAAATTCTTGAGTGCAGTCTCTTATTAAAAAAATCTTCGTAAGACTCTCTCCCCTTCATGAAAAATTGATAGTATTTATAGTGCGATAAATTTTCACATGATAAAAACACAAAGTTTTAATTCATAACAGATTCCATTTATTACATGCATGCATTCGTTCTTATTTTCGTCAAGACTTCACTGTTGCACTTCTTTTCGTTTTGCTTTTCGCTCGTCTAAATCGACCAGCTATTGGTACCTGTCGTTCGTACTGATCGTACGACAACGAACGAACGTTTTTTTCATTTCAAATACTAATAAAGTAACAACCGATTGATATTTGTCATTTGCTTCTTCGTTTTTGAAGGCTGTTGATTGTTTATTTTGCTGAAGTTTTTCCTATGACAAGCAAGGAGGAACGATAGCAAAAAACAACGATATCAACCAAAGTTAATAGTGTGTTTCAACCAGAAGCTGCTGCCAATAGGTGAGGACTATTATTTACCATTTTCAGGCGCAGTTTCCAGTGGTCTAGATCTAACACTCGATAATAGCTTAAACGTATTCAATGGAATAATGCGTAACAATTATTACAGTATCAATATCGGTATGACCACAGACAGGACATAGCTTTGTATGTTCCACTGAGATAATTATTTCGTTTCCTATTAGTTCCTGGCTTGTTGTTCCCTGAATTGGATTCTCAAATCCTAATGCATTCATAACGAACGGCGCCGCCACGAATTTCATCGTCTCATTAATTTAATGAACCATACACGTTCGTATACGATTACCGTTGTTAATCCTCGAGGAAGAAAAATGTTCCGTTCTTTTTCTGTTCGGAATCCTTAACCGAGTTGAGTTTGTTGATTCGAGGTCGGAAGTTGTTCGGGTCCCGGCGAAAAGTAATGTTCAGCAGCTCGAGAAAGCGATTCATGCCAACTAGCAGCGATTGTGGCATATTGGCAGTTGTCGATACCGACGGTTTACCATCGAAGACAATCACACGATCTGACAGATACGTGGCCATGATAAAATCGTGTTCGACAACGAAGCCTGTCTTTTTTGCGTGAAGGATAAACCTCTTGATCACCTATATTAGATCACACGGTAACAAAATAAATCAGCTTATAAGAATTCAGTTATTATTCTACAAACTTTAATAACAACTGATTGAGAATATGGATACATTAAGGATATAATGCAACAATTTTGAGATTCAAACCAAGTTTAATCACCAGCCCAACTTTAACCATTCGAACCAATTTAGTGCAGATGATAAATAAGTGGACAACGAGTTTCAATCTGACGCTCAGTAGACGTACTGGATAGGCTCGTTGGCAAACACGATAGTTAACGACATGGATGGAATATATTATCTTTATTTAGCTACGCGAAGACGTAATATTATTTCATATACACATGTACCTGTGATTTCGTACTAAAACAAAGCAGTATGCTGCGGCTTCAGATATAGTTTGTACGCAACTTCAGTGAATCGTGTAATGAAGCTTACGCGGCGAGACTTACCTTCGCGGCAGCAAGACGCTGTTCTGAATCGAGGTAAGCTGACGGTTCGTCAATGAGGTATACATCGGCAGGTTTGCCGAGACAGAGCGCCAACGCGACACGTTGCAGCTCTCCTCCGGATAGGTTCTGAACCTCCTGGTCGATGATATTGTCTATCAACAGTGGTTTCATAACGTCAGCAACGAACTGAGGATGCTGGTACGCATCTCGAATCTTCTCATGGAGTAAGAAACGCACTGTTCCAGTGCTTTTCGGAGAAATCTTCTGGGGTTTATACGATATGTTTAACGTTGGCACATCTTCGTCGCCATCGGGCTTCAACCTTCCGGCGAGCATTCGAATTAGGGTGGTTTTACCGGTTCCGTTTTCGCCGAGCATGACAATGATCTCCGAATCGGTAAACGATCCTCCTTGGACTTTGAGCTCAAAGTCGCCCATCTTCTTAACCATGCTCGGGTATTCATAGCGGGCAAGTCGTTTGACGTCTTCGTCGCCTGTATTATCAGACACCTTGAATACAAGCGATGACTCACGAAATCTCAGGTTTTCCGTCGGCACGAAACCGTCCAAAAAAATATTGATACCTTCTCTAACTGAAAAAGGCATAGTTACGACGCCGTAACATCCTGGCGTACCATAGAGACAACAGATGAAATCCGAAAGATAATCAAGAACGGATAGATCGTGTTCCACAACAATCACATATTTCGTCGCTTCAATTTGTCCACGAATTGCCTGGGCAGATTTGAGGCGTTGTTTGACATCTAGATACGACGAAGGTTCATCAAACATGAATATGTCTCCTTTTTGAATACACACCATTGCTGTGGCGAATCGTTGCAGTTCTCCTCCGGACAGATCGGCGATTTGACGGTCCATAACGTTAACGAGCTCAAGCAATTCGCACAGGTAATCCTCTTTGCCGAGATCGTTCCTTCGGTCCAGAAGCTCCCTCACTGTTCCCTTAACAGCTTTCGGGATCTGATCGACGTACTGTGGCTTGATGACTGCTTTAAGATGGTCCTCGAGAATACGTGTGAAATAATTCTGCAGTTCGGATCCTCGGAAGTAGCCAAGAATCTCTGTCCAATCGGGTGGATCATTGTACCGGCCAAGATTTGGCTTCAGTTTGCCAGCCAGAATCTTTAGCGCTGTCGATTTACCAATACCGTTCGTACCGACTAGACCTAAAACCTCGCCTGGACGTGGAGTTGGAAGCCGGTGCAATTTGAAAGAGTTTGCGCTATATCGATGTGTCGTATCACGTTCGAGGTTTGACGGCAAATTAATGATCTGAATGGCCTCGAATGGACATTTTTTAGTGCATATACCACAGCCAATGCACAGGTTCTCCGAGATGGTGGCGATTCTGTCATTAGGCGTCACTTCGATACAGAGTTTGCCCATGCGAACTACAGGGCACGATTTTTTACACTCCTGTCGACATCGCTTAGGTTTACATTTGTCAATAGAAACAATAGCGATTCTAGTTAGTTTATCTTGCACTTCCTCCTTCTTGAGCTGTTTGGCCATGTTACCACCTCAGGAAGCAATGCGCTATAAAGTACACCAAACAATAACGTTCCGTTAGCCTCGGTATGTAGGCGGATATTGAGCCACAGCATTACATCTCTTGCGAAGCTGTTAATTCTAGGGGTGTGCGATTCCATCTAACCTATCATGTGCTAGAGGTGAATGACCATTCTGAAATACCAACATGTAGGTTGACTGTTTGTGGCGTTAACGATAATCAATTCTTGCAGAAGATCTGGTTTTTAAGTCAAATCGTAGATCACAAGTTGACAACCTTATGCAATAGAATGTTCGACTTAAGCTACCCAGTATCTCATTTATGTAATTTAGGCGAATTAAACCTAGACACTGGAACCTGGTTTCTTGGCTTGTGTATACTGTGATAACGATTTGGTGATGGATAGATGTTTATCCCCTACGCAGCGCTAAACGTTTAATGTTTCTATATTTTCTAGTGTCTACCTTGAAACTTTAGTTAGGTATCGTCGCAAGGGGTAAGGTACGTCATTTTCGTTCTGGGTTTCTTTGGGTATAAATTTTGTGCGCGCAATTTATCTCTAACTACTGGCCTATTTACTATAGATAGTAGACATAAATTAATTCCTTGATTAAACGAATGAAAATACAACTTTCTCAATGTATTGTATAACCTCCGTTCATATTTCAGTGAGGTCCATATGTTCGCGGTACAAATTGCATTGACTACCTGAAAGTCACCTGTCGCAGTCACAGTGTATTATTTTAGAGAAATATGTTCTTCCTTTGACTGAGAATACATTTAACTAGAACAGCTATACAAGTCAAGAGTTGAGCATCAACTTTATAACCAATCTCCACTCTAGCAAATTATATTTGATCAAATTGTTTCACAGAAAAATTAAATGTTTCAGTTGTCTCAAAGTGCACTAATGGGATGGCAAGTGGAGGTACCAACATTGACGTAATAGTTCAGGATGAAAAGTCTGACCAACAAGTCAAACTCCGGCAACAATCTTCCGGCACACTGTATACGTAAGGCGATTATCAAGATTCAACACAGAACGAGTTGTTTCAAAAGCGTTGCGAGTCGACTTTCTGTAAAAAGTTTGACAGCTTCTTTCTAATTGTGTGTTATGGAACGTCCGAATAGCTCTAACAGCCGTCGCGGTAATAGCGGCAGTTCACACAATATGGAACGACGAATGGTACCAGCCGGCAGTGCGAAATGCGGTAACCTGTTCGTATCTGATCGGCATATAGCGCAATGAATTTCATCAATTAGGATGATACTGTGTAGTCTTGTCATGCCGAGAGTATCCTGGAAGGTTGCCACAGGCACGGATACACACTCTAAGACGGCAAGTACCTGTTTCTTGAGGATGCGAAAACACACCAGAACGCACGTGTGTATAGCGGCGCCTGCCAAACACGAAGAGAAAACGAACCCTGAGAATATCGAAACGGAAATCACTAATTGGCGGAGCGATACTTTCTTACAAACAGATAGGGAAAATAAAGCGATGCGATAAACTAGTTCCAACTTAAGTTGATTAATGCATATGAGTAGGGAGCATTTCTAAAAAAATTTCTGTAGATATAACGATCCCAGCAGACAATCTTTTCCACTAGTGGTGAGAAAAATTTGCGCCGACTGTGAACGATATGTGGATAACTTTATGCTCACAACAATAGAACGTTTCTTATCTTTATGTTCTGATCTGCATTTCTATTTTTATCTGTGTGCATGTTCGCAAAAACTTCATTATCGTCGGACTACCAGTCGCACTTTACGCGGGCTGAGCTACCCGCTTGCTCAGTTCCGGCCCATTTATAGCGAGAGAAAGCAGTACAGTAACCTTCAAACGGCCAGAATCAAATATGTAAAACGAATATTTTGACGTAAGTAGAGATGCTTCCACATCTTTTGCAGAATGGGAGAACTTCACAATTGGTGAGGAGGTTTGAAGTACAACTTTTTGTGCACCTTGTGTGAACCTAGCCTATCTCGTCACAGTTAATGGGTGCGGCTTTTTCCAGTCGGGTTTATGATTTATGTGTTCTTTTTAGAACATCTTATATATTTTTTTAATAACGTAAAAATGTGACATGCCTGTGACGCACTATATAGATTAGGATGAAGACGCAAAGAAATATTCCCCTTAACGCAAGAGCAATGAGGACACTGCGTCTATTGCAGATTGTTTCCACTTTTACTTGTTGGTAGGCTCTCGGTATGTAAATACATTAATATGATAAAATGAACACATTAATATTGTATTATTAGTTTTCGTCTATTTATGCATGTACCAGACCTATATTTACAAGGGTATTCCTAAGCATCAGTTTGTTCCTGCAGTTAAACTGCCCACTCACGAAATCTACCATTAAAATAGCTGCATGTAGTTTCTCATTTTAGACTAAATTATTGTTGCATCACATTGTTCCTTGTAGTTGTTTTTCATATGGTCGTTATCCATCGTCAACATCTCTAAAATGTTAACCTCAATTCTGAACTGCTATCGATGCCAATTTGTACTCGATCTGCATATAAATCCTCGACTCTCAAATACGGCCACGCTGAAAAGCAAGCGAAGCGCGACTGAGAACCACCCCAAGTCAACACAGGGTAGGTTAAATGGGTGGGCCGACTGACGAAACCTGTCATGAGATATCACTGGCTGGGTCAGTTGTTGAACGAACACAATTTTTTTTCGTTACAATGATACCCATCCCAATAACTATGTCATTATGCAGTTATCTTAAGCTGCTGCATTGGAAGTAAAAGCAGTATGAAGTTAGCACAAGACCCAGGCAGGAGCTAACTTTCTCTAGTATCTTTACAAGTTGAACACAAGTCTTATGCTATTCGTCTATTGGCAAGAAAATGCTTGGCCTATCATAATAACTGTCACCACAAAAACGCTGATGAAGACTCATCAAATAAGCCCTTTGTTATTTGGTGTTAGCGAATTTCACTATACATTCAACTTATCAGGCTTTATGAGAGGCATATATAAGGTATCTTAAAAAATACTTGAGTGGCTTATTCGGTATTTGCTGTGTGATCGCATGAAACTATTATATTTCTCAGAATTTTCTAATTACACTTTCTGGACTGCTCATTTCAAGAATTCGAACACACAGAAACGTACGGCGCCGCATGGCCGCCGGGAACACTAAGCAAAGCCACTATATTTGAAGTCGTGAAATACGGCGATCTTCCTTCGTCACCTATCGAGTGTGATCCGTTAGAGCTTTACGTCTCCCGTCAGTTCCTCACCGACAACGGATTCGAGCCAGCCAAAGAGTACGCATTTAAGGTAAGCTATCTTCTATGCGCAAACCAAGGACTAAAAATCTTTCGGATATTACATGTTTCTCTCCATTCCATTGAATTTACGGCGTCCTTTGAAACGTAAACACTTGACAGTTTTTGCTTAATGAACATTTTAAAACAAATACTGTAGCCCCAGAATGAGGTATGGATCAGAATGATAACTAGTGTTAGCATAAAGTTTTGGCACTAAGGCATGGACGAAGTTATTTTCGATGGCTTGCTGTACAAACCTGTAAGTAAAATGGGTTTTGAATTAAGTCAATTGTTATGCCGTCTCTGCGTATCAGAATTGATACGCAGATTGAATCATCTCCTTTGAATTCTTTGCAGGAATTGGAGACATGTCCGGCATTAGAGCTTGTTGTCCTTCACGGACATGGACATCTTCTAGCCGAAGCACAAACTCGGGATTGGCAGAACAGGTAAAAAATTATCTAATTGAACAAACTTTTTCTTTTTGAGCGCGTGTAGACAGCCTGAACAAAGGAAAGTTCTGGTTTTGGTCACTGGTAGATCACCTAAATTATCAGTAGAAATAAAAACTACTTATAAGTGGGTTTTATTATATTTTATAGGTGGTGCGAAACATTGGTTCATCCTGGCAGCGATCTTGGGGGTTTGACGGTCGCCGACACTCGACCAACTCGCTTCGGTGTTGTAACTCTAAGCACTCAAATGATTATCCTCGAGGTACTCCTAGCGCTATCGATGACGTCGCTGTTTTTTCAAACATTTTATATACTTTCCTCATTGTTTGTATCGTTTTGTGACAAGTTCCGAAGGGAATCTGAAGATGAGGCACTTCTATGCTAAACTATTTAACGAAACGTCTCTGTTTAACTATATGATTCATTCCATATCATAGCAATTTATAGGACTTATTTATAGGACGGAAGATTGCATCTTTAGAGGCGACTGTTTTTAAATGAATTTATTTGTCTTAATTTGCCCAAATTGGAATTGTAATCAAAAGTCAACATGCAGTCCTTATAAAAGCCGAGTCTGTGAGTTGACTCATCGTCTCTCAAAGCACTTTAATTGTGTCTTCCAAAATAAGTTACTCTGAAACAATTGTTTACACTGTGTGCAGGCCCCCGATAAAATTAAGCCTGCAGAATCAGTCAGACGCTTTTTTCGGCTCACAAATGAATTGCCGCCGGAAGCTTCCTCTAGCGGCAAACAGGTGAGAGAACGGAAATCGTCCAATGTTAATATGGAAAATCTATTGCTACAGCCTCTACTGGTTTTACCGTTCGGATTTAACGAGGTAAGACACACGGCCTTGCAATTCGATAAGGAGATGTCTTAGAGTAAAGCTTAGCTAAAGTTTGTGTTGCTTTCATGGTTATTGATAGACGGAGTGTGATAGAATGATACTATGCATATACACTTTTCTCGGTCGATCCTCGGAGTGCCTGACGATTTCCAACTCTGTAGTATATTTAGATACTACTGTTGTGCACTTGGCCTTGTGCCCCTCTCCTTCCGGTTAATATAGGTTTTAGGTAAGAAGAACCTACATAAAGTGTATTGCGTGAATGTCTAATACTGAATATGCCATTTAAGCAAAATTGGCTTATGGTACCAGCCTTGTTATTGTTATAGCCGTCAGCGAGATATTTAGGATGGACAACTAGGATAAGAAGGGCAATAGCTGGGCAATCGTAATATGATTGCAGCTGTTGACCACGGGTTACCCGGGAATATTCTGTTTTATTTTTCGGATAACACCTCATATATTTAGTAACCAAACAAACCGCTAATAAAAAGGTACGCTGTTCGTCAGAGTATGTTAAAAACAGCTTTTTCCGCCGTACCGAATTGTTTTCGTAGATACGTTCGTTTATAAACAAATTCATGTTTCATTGTTACAGGGATTACGTTCAGCAGCTAAATACGTGACAGATAGCATAGATCCAGATCGATGTGTTTATCTCTCAGAGGAGCTTTTGTCTGAATTTGGAATAAAATCATTTTCATGGGCGAAGATGGAAGTCCGTGAAGTGTCAAGAATAGTTATGGTCGTGCCATCATCTGCTGTTTTTCTGGTGAGCAGACTTGAAACAAGCTAAAGTATCAAAGACCTTGATGGCGCGGCCTCTTATGATATTTCCCTAACGAATAAACAGTACTTACATCTACGCTACATAATGATTTCCTGCTCAGGTAATAAGCAAGCTCGTCTCGGAGGAAAGGTGTCATCAGTGATAAAACATATTAGCTTCTTAATAGTGTCTTGAGCCAACACAAGGGTACCGCCTGCCTTAAAGAACTTAGACATTATCCTAAAATCTCCAGTCTTCGTTGAGCTTTTTCAGTTTTAATCTAATTAAATTACTCTTCTTTATTGCTTATTGTTAACGTGTGGTACGGTATTATAATCTAGAAATATGTTCTGAAAGGGCATTTATGAGAACATATATACATTCAGAGTTCGAGTTTACCTATTTGCTGTCGACCAGATGGCTGCAATTACTAACGAAGTATTTCATGCTTATTTGTTTCCGTAAAAAGAACGAAACTGCTGATCGAATCATTTTCGCCACGCCACAACTGGTATTCAACCTCAGCAACAACCAACTGCCAACGCCGTGCACCCTAATCGGGATCGAAGACTACCCGAAACAGCAAGCTATTTCGGTTAGTCAAGAATATTATTATGTGTCTAAACTCTAATTGACACTTCGCTCTACAAAAATATCTTATTTACTTGAAATTAAAATTTCTTCTACTACGTTCACTGAATATGTAAATATGTTCTTTTGTGGATTTTTTTTCTTGTTGACTGTATGCATCGTATGTAGTGAATTTTATTGCTTCTTTTTTGACATTGAGTGCAGATCGGCGTAGGCGTTATCAAGTCTCCCCACTACAATCATCAGGGCGACTATTTGGCCCTTATAAAATGGCACTTCAAACGACATCCGCGACTTCTCGCTAAAGCTGATATATTTGGCATTTCGCAAAGGGACTTTTTCGAGTACGCACCAGATTTGCGAGAAGCTTCTTCTTACGATGACGCCTCTGTCATCTATTTTCGTGTCGGCTCCATTACTGGAAACAAGCAGGGAGAACCAGAGTCGCTCTGGACCGAACCTGAGAACATCTTAATTTACCAACTTGGATCGGCGGTATCTAAGGTAACGGTTCCACATTTTCAGTGGTTCATTGATTACCTGTTTTTGTTGCCGCCTTGAGGTTCTGTCATCGGAGTCAACATTGTGAACGATTTTCGATGGGATGCCTATTACGACGGCTTATACTAATCTTAAACCGTTTACGGTCCAATACTTATCCTTTTCCTCTGGCCGACATCTAGGTTCCTCGCTGTTTGGAACTGATATTAGAGCGCACACACCATCGCATATTCAATTCGTCTAGAATCGTGTTTCCTCATGTTTCTGAGCTGGTGGATATGATTGGACTCTTCTATCGTAGAGCGCAAATGTCCCGTTCGCTTCAACCGTTATTCCTTATCTCAGGTGACAAATAGCCACATAGGTAAATTCAGTTTTGCTGTTCAGGCGTAAATAATTTGACGCTTTATTAGACTAGATGCAGCCACGGGAGCCTGAAGATGAACTATCTTCAACATATATGCGCGTGTGCTAGGTAGGTATGCAAATTAAGCAACTTTTAGGTGTTTATTTTTAATTATTCGAAAAACTATAATTTATTTTTGTAATTGAACCAATAACACTATTTACCAGTTATAATGATATCTCCTCCTGAGCAACTTAGTTTTACTATGGAATTTATATGTATAAATTTGAGTATAAATGTCAACAATTTCTGAGTTTATACTTTTGGGGTTTCTTATTTATCTATTCCAGGACCGCCAAATTCAGGGAAAACATGTGCCGTTCGGAGTATAGCATTAGCCTTGGGTCTGCATCTACTGACAGTGAACGGGTCGGAACTCACCGGTGACACGCCATCGGCGGCAGAAAGCAGAATAAAAAACACTTTCGCAAAGGTTTGCGGACCCCCTGATTTCCCATTAGTCGTACCAGGAAATTTAGTTGTCATCTTGGGACAATTTAATAAAAACAAAGAATTATGAGTGTTTGCGCTAAGGCGCTTCCTCGCTGCGATATTCCTACTGTAGATACCTTGAATTCTCGAACTTGTCGAAAACGTCTGATATATGGTTGGACGGCGTTGCGATCGCATATCGTTTCGTGATCTGCTGCCTACATCGTAGCTAACACAGAGGTTCATCAACAAAAAAAAAAAAAAAAAAAAAGGTCTAAGCAGTCGAGTAACCAGATAGTGTGAAACTCTCTCCTCCGTTCATATCGGTTCGAAGTTGCAGCTTGTACTAGGATTTGCAGCCGATTGCGGCGAGAGTGCACAATTATCAGTATACGATACCAACTTCTGTTATATGGAACAGCAGTTTCGACAACACTTAAATTCTCACAAAGCTAATGCTAGTAGAGGTGTCACGTTGCGCGTTGCGTTTTGCAGTGGCTCTTATTAAGACTACTAATTAAGTAAGGGTTTCAGTTCGTAAAATATATACATAAACGTGTTTATTTTTGTCAGACATCAGAATACGGTCCATGTGTTGTGCATATAACGAATATCGAGGAAATTTTCCGCACCGTGATAGATGCAGCGGATACTCGCCTGGTGAGCGTTTTCTTAGAGAGCATCGCTGCACTTAACCATTGCCTCAGCGAGCCTGTCGTGGTTATTGCCACTTCGAATGAACCCCGCCAGATCCCTAGTCAGGTTTGTCAAATATGGTCGTTATCTTTAGAGTATAGCTAACTTAATCAGTATTGTGCGTATAGTAACTTTGCAGGCGTAAACTTCAGTACGATTTTTGTTGATAAGAATTGAATAAGATTATTACGCGCTTATTTCACATTATTATTATTATATTAAGCAACATAATAATGTCGAAAATCTTGATGTAATGGGTTTGAATTTCATAATCATTACGTCGAAAATTGGCGTTGATACCTGCAGGTAATGTGCTCGGTTCTTCACCATCTAGTTGTTCCTCCTATGAGACAAGAAGACCGACAGCGAGTGCTTGAGCTGCTCCTAGCCGATGATGCAGTTAGCATTTCGTTGGACATTGAAGAGGTTGCAGAGAAAACGGCCGGTTTCGTCCTAGGGGACTTGTTGGCTGTTGTTGATTTTGCAAGGAAAAATATGTATCGACGCGAGACACATGGGTAAGAACTGTCTTTGGCAAATGATCATGGTTCCAGTGAGCCTCACGAAAATTGGCGGCAGCTGAAGCGACTTACGTAATATGTTGTAGAACTTCGTTCGACTTTACCAATAGCAGTGTGACTACAGATATGAAACGCCTTTCAAATATCGGGCGCCATATTTTCGTTCTTTTGCCTGCTTATCTTACACTCATCTATCACACACGTAACTCGCTACTATCCTTTTCAGTAAGTAACTTTTTAACTATTTGGACCTAACTAGACAAACGTCACGTATCTTTCCCTTAGCTTCTGGAGTATATATGTATTTGAAAATGATTATTTACTAAAGCGTGCACCAAGATTTTGCATTGTAAAACATTTGATTTCGATGCCTCTGAGCATCCGAACAGTTTGACAATCTTTTGGCCTTTTTTTTTACAGATCCGCAGCAGTCGAAATGGGTTTTAGCTTGACTCAGCCGATTCTTACGATGGAGGATATTCTTAAGGCTATTTGTCAAATTCAAAAGAACCATAGCAAAAGCATTGGTGCACCGGTGATTCCCAGTGTTAGGTAACGCTATTAAATTTGTTTTAGGAAACTGTAGGTCATAAGATACATTATTTACATTCTACTGGAGCCCATTAAATAATTGCGTTTTTATAGGAATAATTCATAGAAACTTCAAATAGAATATTTCGGATACATTTGTGCACAAACCTTTGTGCAGTATTTCTCATAATTGCTTTGTTTATTAACAATAATGCTCTTCTTTGCTAATAGCTGGGACGACATTGGAGGATTGGAAGTTGCCAAAAAAGAGATCCTTGATACGGTACAATTTCCTCTGAAGTATTGTAACTTCAGAAAAGCTAGCTCGGGCGGTAACTTAGGCAGGTCTGGTATACTTCTCTACGGACCACCGGGAACAGGAAAAACACTTCTCGCTAAGGCGGTCGCAACAGAATGTTCGTTGAACTTTCTTAGCGTTAAGGTAAACTGTCGCACAGTGTAAATGGGCTCTGTACTTTAGGGATTTTCTACTTATGATTGGTCCACATCAAGCTTTACTTAGGAGAGTTGCAGTATAGCCGACCCTGCGAAATGCGATTTTTTGCCATGAAATATTGCTATTAAGTAAATCTCAGGATATAGCATGTTATTTAATTAGCAACAGTTATGTATATGCGCTGTTATAAATGAGATTTAATCGCTACCGGTTTTCTGAATGACTCAATAGTATAATGCATTCGTGATTGATATGCCGATTTGTTATATTTACATAATCTTCAAGGGACCCGAATTGATCAACATGTATATCGGGCAAAGTGAAGACAACGTAAGAAAGGTGTTCGAAAAGGTAAGAACTGAAGGGAACTATTATTAAACGGCACTTTTATCTTGTAACCAATCTAGTTAAGCTTGAAGTATTGACGAAATAGGAAGATGCAATGACCAGATGTCGAAAACAGATGTACGATCCTATAAAACCGTATTCGATAACTCAACGCTGTTTGATACTGTTACCATTTGAATGAACGTATCTATTTACGAAACCGAAAGCAACTAACTCGATCCAATCCGGCAGCTTCTAAGCCATGTGCTTAATTGCTAGACCATGAATAGCATGTGGCAGGATGGATAGTAACGAGTGAAAAAAGCTTATTTGTACGATCTACTTTAATTAGAAGTTTAACTTAATTTTACTATATATACACATAACGCAAGACACGCAAAATTCCGATTACGTTTTTGCATTTTACTATGCCAATCGTACGACTATTTTTATCCTTGTTTGTGCAGGCTCGCTCGGCAGCTCCGTGCATTATCTTTTTCGATGAACTAGATTCGTTAGCGCCTCGAAGGGGTAGAAGTGGCGACTCTGGGGGAGTAATGGACCGTGTGGTTTCACAGCTGCTAGCTGAAATGGATGGACTTAAGAAGGTGAAGATAATCCATCTACGTACATTATGTACTGCTACATCTTGTATCGATTCGATCAACATTATTATATAGTAGATGGTTAATATAAGATATAAAACAGAAATACCAATAATAATAAATGCTTGTGATAAGGTTTACCAACTAACCGCTGTTCCAATTTGCTTTAAAAGACCGACTGTTCAGATGGCGACCATGTGTTTGTAATTGGCGCTACAAATCGTCCAGACCTACTAGATACAGCTATTCTGAGACCTGGAAGATTGGATCGTCTCGTCTATGTGGATATACCCGAGGAGCCAGAAGTCAAATACAAGGTTAGTTGACCTATAACATGTTAAATCTACGACATTGAGGCTTTTGAAGAATAACCTCTCGGCGTTGATTAAGTCTAACCGCAAGTTTTATTGTTGAGGTTGACACTTTGGTGATAAATTGGTCAAACGATACGGATAATTGGAACACACGACTTCCATTGGCTTCCATTATGAATTCCATATCGCTGTCCAGTGTCAGTTATCCATGTTTTTTTTTACTGTATCGCGTAGGTATTACGGGCGTTAACACGTAAGCTGACACTACGCGACGTAGACCTTCGAAAATTAAGCGAAAAATGTCCCGCACATCTTACCGGCGCTGACCTTTACTCTCTTTGCGCCAGTGCTATGATCAACGCTGTAAGGTAAGATTTAAAACATTTTAAACACAAATATTACACTTTATTTGACTATCTACTGATTTATATGCTTCAATTTACTAAGATAGTTATTAAATATCGATAAATAGGTAATTTGCAAGCTTTGTTTGCTTAAGCGATTCAGCCATTACTATGATGATCTTCCGTCTAATTATCTCGAGTCAGCGTTCTGCGTAATTAAAACAAATCAGATCAAGGTAACTGTGGAGCATTCAAATGACTTCCACAATGTAAACTGCTAACCGTTTTAGACAATTAATTCGATAGAATCGTAATCTCCCCTGTAGCATTTTACCAACAAAATTATTGTACTGTGTTAAAGGTACAACGGAAAAAAAAAAACATAAATACATCGTTTTTGGAACATATACGTATTGGCACGCAATCTATGTATGGCTATGATAGCAGATAAATCTAACTATAATAAGCCGTCCTCGACCTCTTCAACCTCAGAGTGCACTTGGCATTGACCCTGAACAAGGCCGTTACCGGTGGTAGGACGTACGTCAGTATTTGCATGGTAAAATTATCGCTTACTATACTATATTATTGCTGATATTTTTGTTGTTGCTTAGGAGGTGTGTTAATACTAATTGCAAAAAGCTGGTCGTGAGCAACGAGGATTTTGAACGAGCATTGGAAAAGTTGTCACCATCAGTGAGCATTGCCGAACTTCAAGACTATCGAAAGCTGCGAGATAGGTTTGCTCCTTGATCCCAGGCCTGTTAGTCGAGATAAATCTTTTCATTTAAACAAAAACAATGATATAGGTATAACCAGCCTCTGGAGACGACGTACACCGCAGATTGAATAAAAGCTACATGTCTTTTGGATACGAGTAGAAAAACACATGTAAATTAGTTTTGTGAACCACCAGAAAAAATGGTAAGTGCATTTTGATGACCACCTACAACAACGGTACAAATTATAGGCTGTTACCTAGTTAACTGTAGCATTTGAGTGTGAAATAAACACATGCATAGTGGAACAAGCTTTTAGCTTTCTTTTTTAAGAGAACTTCAGTTATTTACTATTATAAATACATACAGAGTTTTATACATGCGCCATCTCTGATCGTGTGCTCTTCAAAGGTAGTATGTCGAACAAAGGCAATAAAAGAGCCGCAAAGTGAAAAAAATCTAAAATTTAACGTAATGGCTTGTTTAAAATTGAATCGATATGTGCTAATTCGAGAAGCGAATTGCTCCTTAAATATGCTTGTTTACTATCTCTTAGCAGCGGATTAAACGCGTATGTTAAAGATCTAGAAGGACTGAAGGGCTTGATTTACGGGTATAGGTTTTATTTTGGTAAATGACTATTTTCTAGAGCGAGCCTACAAAACTACCAGGCTACTTTAATCTCTATGCTTTTTTTCGTCCAGTGCCATCGTTAGGTATTCTGTTAGACGGCTGCCTCCCAGCACGAGACGAGATCTGTCTGTGGCCGGGTTCGGGACAGATGATTTTAATCTGAGAAATATTTGCTTAACGTTCGTAGGACTTTGATAAAGAAATTGAGGCAAAAATTAAAACTGTCATAATACAGTGATAGTGTTTTTTATCGTCAGAATTCTGCCATGAAGAAATGTTTGCCCGAATAACAAAACAACAATTACAAGCAAAAGATGGATGCAGTGATTTTTTTGAACTTGATTTGAGAGAAAATATATTTTATTTTTTACCTTCAAGATACGCCACCATATTAAGTTTACATGATTATTGTACTGATATATATCAATAATAGTAATAATACTAAGCGACGAACGTATAAAGCGAAGTGAATGCTGCCGGTGGGATCAGCCACCGCTACCATTTCTCTGTATTATCATACAACCAGTGGAATAGTACCCGTTTCAAGCGTGAAAATCTTCTCTGCATCGAATAGTCGTGTCGCGTAAATTCTGCTAGTACGCCTAGTGTACGTTTACTGCCTGATCCTAGAGACGACGGTTATTTCTTAACATATAGATAACTGAAAGTTGGTGCCAAGACAGAATCGTTTCACGAGCCGTCAGGGGGTAAATGAGTTAGTTAAACGTAAACACCGACAAAACATTTCAATAAATAGCATCAATCCGAAAACTTAGCACTGGCGCCTAAGAGAACTTACCAATTAGTTGATGGGCTGGCGCTTCCTTGCTTCTGTTATTGTTGCTGTTTGTTCATATTTGCTCGAGCTCTTTAACTGCCGATTTCGATGCTGACGCTGCAATTGCTTCCTGCCTAGGGGCTGTGCTATAAAGATACAGTTTCATGCAAACTTTACCACCACGATCACAAATCCGTACTGTTACCATTAGGGGACCGCTACGTAAACTACTCCTGTCACTGTCGTGCGCTTCAGTGGCTGCGTCTGCAGCACTGATCATGGTGGTGCTGCTATTATACACGAAAGACATTTAAAGCTCTAGAAACACACTTTGTGGGGGACACTTCAATAAAAAAATGAGTCTACGAGATAGCATATAGTACAAGCAAAGCTAGTATTCCTAAGCAGTATCGAGTATCGATCGATACGATCAAAATCATTTTTATTATAGCAAAGTTGCACAATTCTACTATCCGCAGGAGCGCATCACTAGCCTCAGAACACAATGATTTTTTCTTTTAGGAAGAGACCACTGTATGCCCTAAGATTCATATTCTAACACTGGCGGCTGCGGTAGGAGGGTGGCCATGTTTTAGTTAAGCCCATGGCTCTAGTCTTATTGTACACATATTGGGTAGAATAGGACTATCTGTAAACCAAAAAGTTATTATTTTAAAAGATTTAAAGATTATTTTTACAATCATCGTATGTTCAATCGGCTCAAGAAGCACAAGTCGCTTGAGCTTGCTTGGCCCCGTTGAATCTTGTCAAAATCCTTGTTCTTCGTGTTGTCAAAGTTAAATAATGCTGACTAGCCATATCTATTTTACTGAAATAGTTATAAGTCAGCACTAAAAATATAGATTTACAAATATGCAATTTTGGGTGATAGAGCAAACCTGAAAAACATTTCACATTAATAAAATTTGTTAGCATTTTCACCGATTTGAAACAAACAATCCAAACAGAAAGCTTATCCACTAAACTTACGTTATTAAAAGTTTTGAGTTTTACGTCTGGCATATCCTTGAGTAGTGCTTTAAATAGCTGATCCCAACGTGAAACGAGGTCTGTCTACGGCCAGCTTCGAATCTATACAGTCTCCAACTTTAGTAAACCAATATGTTTGTTATAACGGAAACAAACTTACGTTGGCTTTTTATTGCGGTTCTATGTCAGTAGACTGACATAAACACAAATACTAGAAGGAATCCTTCAGCGGACGATTTAAAGACTAAATTAGGATTATATGTGTATACACTGAGACAAGCATGAAAGTATACGAATAATCTTGAATTTACGGGGGAGTACGTGTTATGCAAAATTAACAAAGATTTTCATGTAATATCATCCTAATAATCGCTCTGACAGTTCTCACATAAGCCAAACAATTATATCTAATGCAAATAATATAATTAAAATACAGACTATGTCGGCAACTCTTGACGGGTGTTTTGTGTACTGCCTTTTTATAAAGAACTTCGCAAGCGAAGTCGAGGCTGTTGTCGAAACAAAGAACAAATTTTACTTTATAAATGAGTGTCAACACTGTAGAGAAGCGCTAAATATTTCTTAAAAAAAACCTTAGATCTGTTGCGAAACGTAACCTTTATTTTGTCGGTGTTTGTAACTAGCACCTCTTTTGTGTTGAGAACTCATTAAAGTGTTTATATATATATATATATATATAAATCAAAACTCAGGTATCCGGAAAATAGTGTATTTCTATAATTTAGTAAATTACTGAGGATCTGCTGTGTTAATCTGTATTTTTGAACGACTTTACTCAGCCAAGGTTATGCTATAATAACAAACATACCGAGATGTATTAGATAATACCTCTTGGCATAAGGACAATTATTATATAGAAACAGTTCTAAATAGCTGCAATATTGAAATTGCAATATGAGCAGTAGCTCCGTGATACGATTTTGGTACAATTCCAGTTAGAAAAATTCATACATTATAAGGTTCATGGACAGTTCTGAATTATATTGTTTGAGCTCTCTGTTCTATACATTTTCTTCGCTGTTCGTCCGCGGCGGTGTACGTTTTTTTCTATAAGTGTTTGAGTAATACTTTTACTTTTACATTCAACCATAGACGTTTTGAAGAAGTCTATACGGGCCAAATGAATTCTCAATTCCTATCGCATAGTTCACTCCGAATACGTCTTCCTAAATATTCACAAAGTGTGCTATCCTACCCAACTCATGTAATCTGAGGCACATGCTGTCTCTTCTAGGAATATGCAGGATCGTGTTCCGGGAGATCGCGATGAGGCAACTTGTCGGTTAAATTGGTACTGACTGTTCGGGGAATCTGAAGTAATACATGCGAAATACTATATATTTTATCACAGATATTTTGAAGGCAGGCTTAGTTGAAAACACTTCTACTATTTGCGCTGCAGTTCCGTAGACCCTACTTGATTCTATATCATCGATTTAAGGAAAAAACGTTCGCTTCAGCTGAACCGTCTGTAATTAATGTAACCTATGTCGTTACGGAACGTACGGAAAGAACCAATAAATGCAGCGGTCTAATAAGCGATGTTTCGCGAAGTCAGGCTCGTTTGGTAAGCGATATTAACTTGAAAATGTCCTACAAAAAAGCATAGCTTAACCAAGACTGGCGTATTTGAAATGTAAACAAGAGTCAAGAAATATTTATAGATAGATACTTTGCAGTTTCTAGATACGTAACGATCATCTATCTTGCCACAGACTTCAGTTTATGTTACACCATTTAGACCTATAGTTTGTTTTCTATCTATATTGATCGATGTCTCAACATTCGTTTCGATCGTTGCTTTAAAGTGTATGTATATAAAATAAAGGCTTTCACTGTCGTCGAGCATCCATCTAATCGGTCGTTGGGAGCTTCTGGAAAAACGACAGGTAAACGTAAAAACTATTTTATTTTTTATGCTATATTCAGGGCCAACGAAGGTCAATCAGGATGGTGTTCTAGGTCGATTTATCGATTGTACAACGGGGCTAGAGCAATTTCACTGTATTTTTTTTGTAAATTAAATCGTATAAAATGTGCGGGGACATCTTTTTTGAGCATATTGTCAAAAATCGCGTAACGCACAGATTTCAAAATATCGATTGTAATACGTAATACAGGACCTTCGTTCCCTTTCCATTCAACAGGGTTCACGATTACGATAGATTAGCTGCTGTAACACCATATTACAAATGCTTTAAGCGTTGTTTATCAACTTGGAACCTGATAAATGATATTCAGGTAAAATACGTGATTGGCTTCAGTGAGTTAATTCACATTAACTGTATATGCAGTATATTTAAAGGAATACTTTACCTGCCTAATCAATACCTGCCGGAAATATTGTTCTGCCCCCTCCCCAAATATTTATCATTCATATTACGATACGACATTTTCAAATGAAGTCGGCTTAGCGCCCCTCCTAGGCATCATTTTAACTTACCTGTTATTTGGCGGACACGACGTCATTCGATCGAACTACGAAAATTGCTATTTGACGTCAAGCAGACACCTTGACCGTTCAAACTGCTGAAGGTCAGGATTTAGGTTTATATTCAGGCACACGAGTAAGTCGACATAGGTTATATAGAACATCTGTCTTGGCTTGCAGCCACTAAAGACATGGAAACAAATTAAATAGAGCTTCCAGTAGATTTAATATTAAAACATCTGACAGGGTAGAGCATTTTGCTAATACAAGTACCACTGTTCCACGTTTACGTTATATTAGTGATACTTAAGACATTTTTTCTAACATTATAGCAGAGATTAATTAAATTTTGATCCATTAACTCTTTTAAGAAACTAAAAAAACACAGACTCGAGAGAAATTAGGAGGATTAATAGCGTTAATGATATTTGAAACTATGCTTACTTAGGTTCTGGCAAGAGCCCGTCGTGTTTAATGTAGACTTTAAGGTGGACAATATTGACAAACTTCGCTCAATTGCGCCATTTCTTTTGACATCATGTACTGGAAACACGCCATAAGCGACATAAAGTCTGATTCTAACGCGATAGATACGTAACCAGTTTTGGTTGTATAGGGCTAATATTGTGATACACCACATCCCGGGAAAATTTTCGTCACACAATTATTTTATATATCGAACACAAGGAAGTTGTTATTCGTGTATAGACCAACGTGCGGCTTCCAAAAGGAAAGCTGTTGGCTAAATTTGGCGGGCTGAGTATACTTTTAGCGGATTGTCATGCTACTGCGTACTTTGTTAAATATTATTTTGAGTGACTTCAATAAGGAAAAGATCCTACCCCGGCACTCAATGTAAACTGAATGATAATGATAATAACACGCAATCGCGCTCACTGTTAATAGATAAATACTTGTACTTGTTGAACGTGTTTCTTACTAGTGACGACTTTCTATTCGAATCGTAAATCATAAAATTAATTCGTAACTTTAAATTCTCTAAATGAAAACCTTTTAGAAAGTCAATGATTTCTTTAAAAAAATTATTCTATACAAGTTACGTACGTCATCGAACACCCACCAAAAGCTTATTTTCCGAAAGGAGAAAGTTAAGGAAATGTTCGAGAGCTTTGAAAGTATTGTGACAAAGACCATGGTACAGATACAAAAGTTGCATCGTAACGAACAGCCATGAAGCACCTTTTTTTTTTTTTTTTTTGTTGTAGCACTCCAATTAACGGTCCTAATAGGCGTGGAATATAAGATTTAAAGTGGAGTATAGTGATCAATTTGGATTTTTGCAACTAATTAAAAAGTTATGGAAAAACAATTAATATAGTTTTTGTTTTGTTTTAGTTTACAAAAACGCCTTCAACATTGTGAGGCGAAATCATTCTGTCATATCAATAAAAGAAGACTTTACAGTTAATCTTATAACATAATGGCATTATGTATAATGTAGGTACATATAAATCCGTCTCGTATTTGACATACTTTACCTCACAGAGCTCGCGGAAAATAATCACTATAATTCTTTTCCTTCGACGACGGGCACGCTTGTGCACGTTAAAGTACTCAAAATCCGTGATTTAGAAAGTCGTTCCGACGGATCCATGGGCACTTCACATTAGTTCGGTGCACGATCAAGGTAGTCTGAGTCATCTTGATCTTGCTCCAAAATAGGGCTTACTGTCCGAATGAAATGACATGAATGCCCCATCGTAGGGATAAACCTACCTTAGGATGGTTTCTTGGTTGGTATTAAGGTTCAATCTAATGTCGATTACGGCACCTCTTAGCCGTGTCTTGCTAGCGATGAAAAGTATAATGATGTGCGCTATTCTACTATCTTCTGCCTACTGGCATGCATTGCCTCCCGGAATTGGTTTTCTGACAAGTTTCGCAGATCGTTTGCTAGAACCAGTCGGCAATGCTATATTAACGAACTATCTGTTTCAACTTGGTTTCATTATTGAAATGAGTAACTTCAAGAAATTGCACTAATCGGGTTTGTGAACTAATGGAATGGCCATAATATGAGTGACATCTGCGGATGGTGAAATGTTGTTGTTAGATGAACGTTCAAATGTATACGACTGTTCCATGTTTATATAGGCATACATTTCATAAACGAATATCATATTTTAATGTCTGTACAATGAATTCCATAGTTGATAATTAAATTTACGCTGTTATATATTCTTAATAGTTCTAATTTATTTTGTCCACATAGCATTTGCGAAGAAGAGGGGCAAATTACTCAGTCCGAAGAAACTGGAACCAGTAAGTTATTACCTGAACTATAGAAACTCAAGTACGGGTAAAAGGAGTTCGACCATTCTCTAGCCAGCTACGTACATACAAAATAAAACCGCATGTATTGTAATGAATGGATTGTTTCGCAGAGAACTTTTTAGATCAGCTTTTTTTTTTCACCGCCCCAGCAATTGAAATTGAATTGCACAAACATCAGCAACAGTCGAGGTTTATCTTAGCTAACAGAAAATGAAGGCGTTTTCGCTAAACTGTCAGGATATGCTCAAACAAAAAGACAAATTTCGCTAATTTGGAAGCTCGTCTACCTGAGGAACATTGTATCCTTAGTATTTTATTATTATTAGTGGTATTTTTTAAATGGCTACCGGAGCACCTGAAGAAGCACCGCCAGCTGGAGTCCCGAGGCACGCATCTAGATATCTTCATTGGCTCAGTAACAGACGGTAAAATTAGAAGGTGGTATTAGAATCCTGCCATGTTTATTTCAGATCTCTCGTATACTTTTTCGTGAAGTCTACCTTAAATAGTGAATGAATTTTCACTCCGAGAACTGACTTCGGTTAGAACTTCCAACGATAACTATTTGAAACCAACTCCGTGTTTCTTCTCGATACCCAAAAAAAATAAAACACTTTTGGCTCACTTGAACGATCCAAACACCAAACCGACTTAATTCAAGTATTTATATGAGTTACATTCGACTATATGTATACTCGCTGGTGCCTTTAGCCCATTAAATCAAACTGGATTTGTCCATGCAGACCCCCGCCTGTACGGTATAATGTTAAGGCTCATTCTTAAACGTTAAAACGACCATGGCTACAATGAATGATTGCATACTGATTGTCTGTTCTATTACCCATAAGATATTATGTATTGTGATACATTGCAGTGATTAGGTAGACTTTTTTCTGCACTGAAGAGCTCGAGCAAAAGTTCAGTGTTATACTTAAAAGAAAATAGTTTAGGTAGTTACATTATAGTTGTACGATCTGTAGTTGGTTTTCTAAATATCAAACAAGCGTGCACGAATATACGCGATTTCAGTCAGAAATGATCTTTCGTATTATAGAGGCATCTAGCTAAACTCTAATATTATAGGTAATAGAGTTTCTCCATTGTTTCGGTGTATAATTAGAATGCTGGCAAAAAAAATACTTTAGATACACCGATGAAAATGTGGTAATTTTAAACAAAAATCGTTCAAGGCTATGTTCAACAATAGAAAATCGTGAACTTATCTGCTCTCTATTACACGTATTTATCATTGCATTAACATCCGTTCTCGCGTCTTTTGTGGGCTCACATTGTTCTCGTGATAGATGCATAGGGGTCATGATTACACCCCTCTGCGTGTACTGACGTCTGTCCACCTACCATTTCTAACGAGATCGCTAGAGCTACGCAGTTAGATAGCCAGGCCTCGAAAGCTTTCAAGCTACCGCATCGGTCCGGACTCTGAGGGATGCAGCAATTCAATAATAGCAAAAATGACCGACATAGCGTGTTAAATCTATCGCCGTCTTTAATATGCAACTAGCCGCTTAGCGGCGTATTCATGCTGACCATCATTTTCGGTCATTCTGCATTGCAGCCGTCACAATCTCCTACTTCAGTCATTGAGCAGCCTATGGACCGATCCGAACTATTATCGCAGACGCTATCCCTTCGAACTATAACTTTAGGATTATGTTGGAAATGTGTACAAATCAACAATAGCAATTACAGTAGTATTATTATGCTGGCTACGAGCATATGAGCATTTCTGTGGGACGAAATCAGGCGACGTTTATCGGTCGATCCGATGCTGGAAGGTTGTTGCTCCCGGTGGCACAATGGGGCAATGTTTAAAAAACAAACTGAAATCATTTCCATGAAATGCTGCTGTCGCCGCCACCGCCGCAGCGAATGAGAAGCGTCTTGTAGCTTCAAGCGATCGAGACGGAGTCAAGGCATCTGCCGGCGGTACACGGTCCACCGTATAACTTTCGAGCATACCTGAGTGGACAAGGGTTGTACTATGTTGTGCTAGACCTGTGAAAGCCTATTGCTGGTTATAAACTTGTCCATTACACGATAAAAAACAAAGAAATAGCAAACTAAAGTAATTTGTTCCCAGAAATAACTCATCTACCGAAAGAAATTTCTTTCGGTTCCCGGTCTTTATTTGGCGCTCCACCGTGACCGCACTAGAATCATTCTATCAGTCCGCATGTTGTCTTCATCCGTATGCTAACAGATGCTGTTCAAGGAACGACTGACACTAACCGAGTTGGTTGGAACTAATGGCAACGATTATAGCTGAATTGTTATTGATACATTAGTTTTCGTTCCAGCTGGACTCTTCGATCACGGATAATGATGCCATGTATTATAGCTATGCAATTGTGCCTAACAGTTTTCGAAGTACCGCGAATCACTTGAACAGCAAGTATGCATATTTGCATGATTTATTTCTTAGCTAGCCGTTGCGTTTGTTAAACTTTCCAAACAGCCAGTGGTGTTCTTGCACTTCACTAGTGAAGGCTTTTTGTTTTTAAACCATATAGTCGTTTAATTAAATAGTCACATAAACTATTGCATATGATGTCAGTATACCTCAGATATCGTTCACTGATACCCATAATTACGTCGACCACTGGCGCATTTCGAAAATAGAGTGTCGACGAATATATATATATATATGTACAACGATAGCGTCTTCAGTTTCCATCATCTTAGGCCTCACTCTATGCATGCATCGTTCTACCAACGCTTCAGCTGACACGGCCTTTGAGTGGACGCGATTGAAAAGCGATTCTATCTTACGTGCGAACTTAGTAAAACGCGTTTATACCCCAACCTTACGGTGTTCCAAAAATGAACGCGTGAGCTGACAGATACGTTTACAACGTAGATACGCTTTTATACTATCACCAGGATAAAACTTGTATGCTTTTATGCACCACAAGCCAAAAGCTCGATTTAACAGAAACCGATTGACGATCTCTTTTTAGGACTACGTGTTAACCCAGTCACCAAGTAGGAGAAATACTGTGTTTCAAAGCAAACTAGAAACTCACGTGTGATGAGCAGGGTATTTTAAGTTCAGCTCTTCAATGTGAGGAACACTGAGGAAGTTCATCTTGGAAACGGGATATTTCGAATAGGAACAAGTACGGACGAGGATATACGAAGCGAAAAATTAAGGCAGCAGACATCGCGTGCCTTACGTATAAGAGAAAAAAAAAATATTTCTTTTTCCGAGTTTTGTTTTAACAAATAATTATGTAGCCTCAGCTTCTGCCACCGCTCCGTTTGTTAAATGTGATCGGGAACAAACTTCAAGATGTTTGTGGGTAAGGAGCGCTGTTTCTGGCCAGGTTTTTGGTTATGTATTTTTTTATAACATTATTTAGATTAAAGAAGTACGAAACAATAAAGACATGGATTGCCCCATAAAATATACAGCTTCATGTTTGATATGGCAAAAACCTGAAAGTTAAGACAATGAAAATCATAGCATCAAGCATCCATACATCGTCCTACATTGTGAGCCTACCTTTGTGTTCAGCGACCTCAAAAGAGAGCTTTGAAATGGAATTTCCTATCCATCTCGTAAATCACGTTATTCACTAAAACTCAGAGAATAAAACTTGAGAAACTGGTTTGTTTGTTATTAGATGTATCTTCTGTAAGATCGTCCACATAATGGGCTACGTTCTGCGTAGGCCACAAAGTATCAATTTTCAAACTTATAAATAATGTTGTCTTGTGCATAGTACGTAAGTTAAAATGTTATCTACTTTATGAGCTTAGTATCCAGACATAGCTTTAACAACTGAAACAAACTGACAATATTTAGGTTTCCAGATTGCTGTTCTATGGACTTCTTCTCTGTAGCGTGCGTAGAGTGATATTTAACATAAATAACAAAAAAAACATCGACGCAAAAAAGAACGAGTATTCGAGCGAGAAGAATCAGACCCATACAAGTGGGCAAAAAGATTCAAATATGACACAACCTATTTTGAACGCATGAACCTGAACAAGGCTTCAGATTCTGCATGCGGACTCTATGCCAGCTTCTGAAGGCGTATAGCTCGTTTTTCTGCGAAGATTCACTCACCATAATGTTTCGAGTTTAAAGTTGTGTACGACTGCTAATCGCTGTTTCAGTATTATACACCTGGCCACAGGCCCTACAACGGGTTAGGGATGCCTCAATCGTATAACAGCTTTTGATTTCGAAAAATAGAATCTTATGTAGTGTGTATCAAAAAGCACTGAAGATTTCAGCCCTTATTGCCTAGACAGATTTTGTCGGCCCAGATACATACAGAAGTTAATCTTCTGAGTGTTCCTAGATGTGTGCAATCTGGTGCCCCGATAGATCTTCCATCTCCAGTGCTTCCCTTTCCCGGTGGGTCAGCCGGCGTTGCGGAAGATAAAACCGGAGCCTGCTTTGATATTCTCTCAGAAGGATTTTCTTTCATCTGCCAAAATGCATGTTCGTACCGTGATTCTGTTCTCTGCACTGACGCTGGCCATTATGGCCGGCCCGGCCGTCAAATCTGGGTCAGAGCCCATCACAGCCTCGTCTACGGTTAACCCTGCCACGGATAAAGCTCCTGCTATGGCCCCAAGAGGCACAAGAACCAACACGACCAAGTCGGTCGCTCACGAAGCCATCAATAAGTTAGTTCAAAATATGCCTGTTGTGCAGAATATTGCCGGTATTACAGAAACAATTGTTGGTGATGCCCCGGCAGCCGATGTAGCTCAGAGTGAAGCTGCGGCCGACATCCCTCAAGGTAGGATCCTCGTTTAACGTAAATGCGTACGACCTGCAGTACTTCCGTTGCAATATTTTTATTTTCGCAAACACAAAAAATAGTAAGATCTCTTTACTCAAAGTGCGATCATAAAATTTAAAATTGTAGTCATTCTAAAATAATTATGGACAGTGCTACCTTGACAAATCGAGCTTACAATGCAATGAAATGCTTCTAATAACTTGATGTCTGCTGTTTATTCAGTATTTATTATAATTTGCCATTTTCTTAACCGAACTTAAAGAAAGAAGTAACGCAGCGACAAGAGCCAATAAATAATTATACAAAGCAGTGACAGAATCGCCTCAAGCTTCTCAAACATATAAGTACCCGCTAACCATAAACTTATCTTTAAAGATAATGTAATCATAACGTAGCCGTTTGCCCATGCGACTGAACAGGTCCTATATTGTGCAGTACGATTATTAAAGTATTGATTGCTCATATCTAATCAGTTCTATAATTAACCTAAAATAAGCCCAGAAAACACCTAAGATCCCTAATCAAATATAGCTCAAATTAAGCCGTAGAAAAGGCACACGTTTAACTGCTACTAAAACGTAGATAATTGTTTTATCGAGCAACTCCGAGAGTGAAATAATTAGTCATATAAATTTTATTCACGTATGAGCATAGCTCTCGTTAACATTCTAGCAAAAGTTCTAAACCGCTGCTAACTTGAAAATGGAGAAAATGCACAGCTAACTTTGATCTAAAATACTTCTCAGTCCGTCAGCAGCATCTAGATCCGTGTGAACAGGGTCAAGGCGTATGTATGAGCGGGTTTGATTGTACCCTTCAACGAGGCGAAAACATTGGAAACTGCGACGGAGGGGGCGTTTGCTGTCATAGTAAGTTTCGTGTCTGTGAACATATGTAGAAGTTTCTTACGCTACTGCTACCGAAATTTTACACCGTTTTTCAGCCAGCCTTTTGCTAGGGGAAAGGATGATCGTTAGGTCCATCATAAGTGACGACTGGTTTTTGCCGGAGCAATTTAAGTTGAGCCAGGTGGGTGCTTGCGTACAAACTAGAAAGACATTACGTTAGCGAAGAGTTAAATACACAGGGTGAACGCCGTCGAAAATACATTGCATGTTATGCATGTGAACTATTTATTTACTGTAACTTGTAGTTCTTTGCAACTGATGTACAGTCGCTTGACAAATTTCATAATCTGAAAGAAAGCAAAATTACACCAAGGATTTTTTTCTATCGACACCTTATAACAGCAGAAAAATGGCCAACTACGTATTCAATTGGATTTGAATTAAAAAAAAAAAACGTGTATTTTTACCAAATATCTTACGAATGTGAGGTCTCATAATAAGTCAACCTTTACCTGAAATTATTTTTAGTTGCGAAAACGTGTGAAAAAGGCAAAGAGGTAGAGATCTCAACGAACAACACCTACTTTATCGAGCCACAAAAGGTGTGGGATCCCGAAGGCTCGATTCATTGCGGAATTCGGATTCGTAAACTCACTCCCCTTGGGCAGCATATATGTCAAATGAAGCTGGACTTCGTCAACTTTAATATCGTTGGACCGGATCCGCAATCGGGCAAATGCAAATATGACATGCTCACGATCGAAGGAGCAGACGCCAATACTCGCGTCCACAATTTGTGCGGACTCAACGACGGTCAACATGGTTAGTGTTCTGATCAACAGGAAATTTATGTCAGGTCATAGCAGCAACGAAATCTATTAAGAGATATACAGCGGCTTAGACTGCGTTAGAATGTGAACGGGACTATTTTTCATTTTAACTTCAAGTTTGCTGGAAATTACACCATGCAATGTGTATGTGAGAAAGTTAATGAGGTGTTCGCACAATCTGTCAGTCGATCTGTTGATCTACCATAAGTTGACCAACAAACTTGTATTGAACTGTTTTAGTTTATGTGGACGTGAAGCATACTGACTCCATCAAACTTCGTATGAACATCGATTACTCGAAAGATCCAAACCGAGTGCGAAAATGGAACATCCGTGTCACACAATTGCCTTGCCATTCACCCCGCCTTGCGCCTCCCGGATGTCTTCAGTATTTCGAAGAATATAGCGGAATCGTTAAGAGCTTCAATTACCGACCTCAAGGAGTCAATGAGACCTCCTATCCTCTCGGACTTAGGTACAATAACCGTCATATATATATATATATATCACATTACGCAAGCGAACAGTCCACATATAGATTCCACTTAGGATGGGGTCCATGTACAGGACTCTTGTCATGTAAGGCTATTCGTGACATATGAGCTGTACATACTTTTGCACAATTCACAAGCAAAGTGACTGACTGTATTTCTTATTTTCTTTCTTTATTTCGTATTTGTATATCGATATGCATGTTCAGGTACGCAATTTGCTTTAAACGTGGCCCGGACTCGTGTCGCGTCTTCTTCCGAAAGGCTGGGCCGTTCGGACTCGGCGAAGCCCCTGAGCCTCACTATAATCCAAGCGAAATCGACACCGAGTGCTACAGCAAAAATGCTACGACCGGAGCCATTAAGGTCAAGGCCTACTTACAAATTGATAACGTCAGACACTGTGGAAGAAACTTTGCGGATGAGTACAAAACAGGTACGAACGTTTCCAATTCTGAGCACCAGTGCTGAAAGATGTGCAAGAAACATTGTATGGAATATAGCATAAGGACAATGCAAGGTAGCATTTCAGACTATAGACCTGCCATTTGTGCCGATATCGACTGTCAATAGTATGCAATTATTTTGTTACTGCTAAATAAGCGCTAGCAAATCCTTTCTGTATATAGGGTAAACACACATGCAAAAATGCTAATTACTTAACGAAGTAAACAAAATCTCCTGTAAATTTTAGCTGAGTAACCAGTAAGTCCATCTCACTGCTTATGTACTACTAGAACGTACGCAGAAATATTCTAAAAGTTTCGTTTTTGATTAATGAAACTTCCACTTGCCTCGCACTGCATTTAGAGGACAACGGAATAAACGCAATCACGTTCGTTTCGCCGGACTCCGAGGAGACTCGTGATAAAGAGATTCCAGGCCAACCGCCAGGCTTCAAATTCATTTACCGCTTACTGGCTTGCGGTAGTGGCAACTAGGCGTCCAGTCATTGTTACGCTAGCCATTGTATTGATATCAAACTGAACTAGACGTTTCTATCTCTGACCTACGAAAATGAAACAGGCCCTTTTAAATGTCCTGATTTCCTTTTATTGTGGCAGCAAATTACAGTCTTAGGGCTTCTTTTATCTGACACATTCCCTCTTCCTTATGCTATTAGTTAATTGCGATGTACTATAAAAATGGTGAACTGCATATTTAATATATATATTACCATTTACCTTGCTGAACTTCATATATGTCTACGTGGATGATAAGATAATAAAAAATAATTTAATAAATTAATAAAAAATAAACATTGTACATATATAAGACATCTGATGCTTCAGTTTCTATTGAGTTAGTCTTATGCAAAATAGCAGACGCAAAATTTCTGTCCGCTAACATTGGCGTCTAATTAAATGTTTATTTCATATGAGGTGTTTTTAGTAAACACTCCGTATATGCACAGCTAGATATAGCGGTGTAAGCGATTTAGCACAAATAGCGTTTGTTGACTGAAGCCGAAACCCTGAAATAATTCAACGGCTCGCATTTTTCACATTATGCTGTAAATCAAAATGTACCGAAGTTATTGATTACCGATAAAACAGTATATTTTATTGAATTTGGAGTTTACGCGCATCTGTCGTACAGAACGCAGAAACATAGGATATTGACGCCCTAGCAAGCTAAGGACAGTTAGTGTCCTCCAGCGCTTAGCGTTATCATTATCAACTATTTTACTATCATTGTTGTTATTCTGCGCGCGTTGAATTATAAGCAATCGATACGTCTGGTATAATGTTCGCATTTATCTTAACTGTCGTATGTGCTATTTTTAACTGAACGCCTATTGGATATATACATATACGTACTAAATAGGTAAATATTTAAATTTGTCCTTTCTGCTTTTGACAGCTATACACGTTTGCGGTATATTTCCACGCTGTGATCCATTACGTCATGGTTTGATGTCAACTTCAACAAATAACAATGGCCAGTGCTAGACGCGATTGCAGTACATATGTTATTGTTATTATCATCATCATTGTTACGACATTGTGCGGCAAGCATTAGAAGAATATACGAGTTTCGGCGTACTTATCTGATGCTTATGCTTGTGAATCCGAATTAGAACGGACCTGTCACAGATGTTTTAATCGAATGATGATGGCTACGCATTGTTGCCTACGAGGCTGCTTCATATTATCACGTTGAACCGCTTGTACCCTTCCTTCTAGTTCGACTACGCAAGCGTTTCGAGCTTCGCCATAACAACAATAATGTCTTTACGACGGACCGAAAGGACGCTGAGGTAGCTAGGGTGAAGACAGAAAATATCCGCGGATTGATTTATTGGACAGCATTAACTGAAACACAGCAGCAGTAGCTGCTCTAGATAAATCCTTTGTCTATAAGATAAAGCCGGCTAGCGTTTCGCTTATTTTAGATGTTCCAGTTCCTTCAGCTAACGTCCGCTAGCGTCAGTTGCAACTTCAAGCTTCAGTTCTTATAATACTAGAGGGACATCCGTCTTGCCCTCAATCATAGTTTAGTACGAACAGATCCACATCCTGCTTCAGATCGAGAAAGATATTTAAATATTTACACGCTAGCTGTTCTTCTTTAACTTAACTATGGAAGCAACTGTCGATTATAAATATGGCTTCATCAAACAAACATCAGACCAGTATTTCGGTACACCGATGTCAATGAACAATAACCATTTCATATTCGTGGCATTCACGCAGACCTTGAGAATATTTGGGGTGAATTTTATTCTGGCTTCTTATAAATTGACCCAATCATCTCATTGTACTAGGCCACGTCGTTGACGTATTTGTTTACAGTGGCAAACGAACAGACGTGGTTTCCACAAATTTAAGCGTAACCTTTTTGGTCCCGGTTACCGAAGAGCTCAATAAATATACTTCGATCAATGCATGATATCGCATTCTTGCAGGATGTTAGTTTGTCAACAGCCTTTCTTCATCTATGTGTGGCACAGCCATGTTGACTTTTCATCCTGTGTTTACCGATTGCTTGCACTTAGTGACAAGAAAATGATGTCTGACCTGTGAACCTTGACAAGAGCTTGTAAATGTTGAGCTGTACATTGATAACACCACTTCGTCTAATGAGTTAAAATATGACGGCATTTAATATTTTGTACTATCAAAGTGTTCCTTCTATTTAGCTCGTCGTACTCGTGATAAAACAGTGCCTGGATATTATGTTCCGTAACTTGTCGACAATTTTGAGAACGAAAGCGACACAAATATCTTTAGGCTGTTTTGCGTCTTGACAATAAACAGCATGAATTTTTTTTATAGGCCTGTTTGTTCACTTATTGTTATGCAATTGTAACGTGTGGCGAATTCTTGAAGCGAAGAGTTTCACTCACCTTCAAGGCGTCCTATCGTAGGTTTGAGTAAAGGTCTTTAACAATATTCGCACACCTACTAATGTCAGCTTTTAAATAACCAGCGGCGATCGGACACTCTTCTTTTCTGAGATATGTGACCTTAAAGCCATTTAGATAGAAAAACAGTGAACACTTTTTGACAACTCCATATTAATAGTATTCAAGCCCTAATAAAATTACGCGCGTTTCTAGTAGGCCGAAAGACCTATGACGTGATAATATAATAATGCATCTATAATAGGTAAATGCGTCTTGCCTTTGAAGGAAAAAGAGGAAAATTTGAGCGATCCAAGGAAACACGCAATGCATTCAAAAATAAGTGAAACAATGAAAAAAATGTATAGCTTTTTGACTCATAATACTGTGTGCATAGGAGCGTAAGTAAGCCGTAATAAGCCGTGATTAACATCGTTCCGGAAATCAAAGGCTATCGTAATTCAGCTTCGGATCATTTTCTATAAAATTACATTACTTTTTTAATGCTTGTGCCTGCTCCTTCGCCGCCAGGAAGTGGGCCAGGAAGGACATATTGAAAGAACTTGCATATTCCTTTATATATGAAACATCTTCAGCTCACTAGCTAGCGCAGTCATACAATGCATGTGTTTTTTTCGCGTTAAAACGAATCTATTTTTGAAAACGTATAGACCTTCATGTGTTCACTTTATGTGACGATTTATGTAATAACGTGTCGGAGCTTTGTCAGATTGTGTTTCTTCAAAGATTTAGAACTGCCTCACTTCCCAATAAATCATTTGTACCTTGATGACCCGATACGAACTGTTGCAGTTATGATAGCTAGGACCTGTCGTGCGGGGTATTCTAGCGCTTATTGCTCTCCCACCGATGGCTCAACTAAGCCCAGCCCTATTGAGCAACTATAACAGTACGAAGACGAAGTAAAGGGATGAAATGCACAGGCCACTCACTACTACGTTTGAAAACATGCGCAAATTTGAAGACTATTTTATGAGTAAAGATGTTCTTCGATGGCCTTTTCAAAATTATTCCTAATTTAAAACCATAAACGGTAACCATTCGTAAAACACATAAGAAGTAAACATATGAACTAATGCATGAAAAAAGTCGTAATTTTAACCCGTACTACGAACCATTCCTACATATAACAACATTAATAGCGAATCATTCTCATTTCCACCTTGATAGAGAATTCCGAAAGCAAGGCTCATGTTCCGTGGCCTTTTGAAATCAGTTTGAGGTGTATTTGATCTATCCGGCCGCTGGCAGCCTTTTTTTCTATTAAAGCCGTCTTTTGGCTTTGGTATTGTTCTCGTTATTCTTCTACCCTCTCACTTTTTCTCTCTTTTTTTTCACGCTATCATCACGCGTACGACTTCACTCACATGTTATGAATTTGCACGCAAGTCTCAGAATCAGGCCGGTCTGACCGCGTGCCAAGCACGTGCACACTTACCTCTACGGAGTCTACCCACAGACGCCAACAAAAATTGTTTCTGCGCTCGAATGACTATTGCTGTTGTCAGCGACTCAGCCGCAGCCGGTGATAACGTACAGCTTACATACGTACATGTAGCAATTGAATATTCACATACATCAGTCGTATGCAGAAACGTGTCATTGTGTGTACGTGATAAAGAGGCTACCCAGGAAGCATACGAAGGTAATGTAATGATGAAAATGAGCTGCTATATCGATCAGTGTCGTTGGTATTGACGCCGTTTGTAAGTAACAGTCGCGGTAAGGTTGACGGTATCATCATCCGGAAGAATCAGCTTGCTCCAACTATTACGGCGGTTATTTCTAAGAAGCAATAAATATCGTCAGCTCTCAGTCGGTCACAAAACAGGTAAAATAGTTGTTTATGAGACACCGTGTATTAAAGTGATTTACTGTAACCGTGTTCCGTTCAGTAAAGTGGGCCCTTCCACAAGCTAAACTGTGGCCTTTTTATTATTATTATTATTATTTTGATGTCTACGAAAGCCACACCTTAATAATCATGGAAACACATACGATATAAGAATTATAGCTTAGAAGCAGCTAAGTAACTGTAGAGAAACTGCATTTGAAGCAAGTTTCGGTGACGATTTTTGATGATCTCCCTTGGGAACGTTGTCGCTTAAGGTATTCGATTTTCTTATTTGGATGGACACTGTAAAACAGGTGGATGCTAATTGAGAGCTTTGTTCCAGTAAGTCATGCAAGTGACCATAGACCGCATATTTCAGTCATACATATTTCAGTATCAGTCGTTTTACGTCATATTATCACTAGAATAGAATTTCTAAAATAAAAAAGTTTTTTTTTTTAAATTTTTTTTTAACAAATCTGAGTTAACATTACTCATTATGATCATATTGGTCAGTGTATAATATTATGTTTACGTTAAAGGCTTAATGATGATCGATTGTAGTAGGCGTTTCTATCCTATTTTTTCTATATAAATTTCATCGTGCCGTTGACTCCCTTGTGCTCTTTAAACCTCCTATTGCAAGAATTAATTACTCTTGTGCTTTGTCGCATTGGCTTATGCGACACGAATTTCTGTTGAAGTGTCTGTGATGAATTGAGTGAGGAAAACTACATCAGGAGATTAGCATCTGGGGAAAAAACGTGTTTGACGGATTAACAGGTTAGCGATCACTAAGTACCAATATCCTCAATAAGTTTTTAGCAAGCATATTGATTGAGGATCGTCCCTGAATATTGCCTGAAATACAGGATATCATGTATTAATAATTCGCATATATATTACTCAGCTATCAGAAGCGACATCGACGTTTATTTTTGAGCGCTCCTCAAGAAAAGGCCGATCGTCAACAACCCAATAGGATAGGCTTAAATGACAACGGGATTGTCAATAATGGAATGATTCTCTGAAAGAACGTAGCTTTTTTCAACCAGCGAATGTTTCCACGTTTGTGACCAGGTGAGAGTGATTGGGAAAGCGTTCTAAAATGTGTAAGAGCGTACATGGTGTGGGAAGGCAGAATTCGACGTGCAGAAGGGGTATCAGAGCAAGGGCCGTATAACGGAAGGGGAGCGGGGACAAATCACTCGGAATTGCCGGATAACAAACCATTATACACTGAGGCAGCCGCGCATACATACAGATCTGGCTAAAATTTTAAGCCGACCATGAAAATAAAGGATAGTCATATTCTGGGAAGGACAAATAAGGTCAAGATCGGACTATGCTGAGTGTGTATCTGTCTGTGTGACTCTACTTCTCTCCCTTTTCCCTTTCTGGTGACGTTTTTTTCAAAACCTAAGTTATCGAGGGGTCGTCTTCTCTCCACAATTGAGTCGTGTTGAGTTCATAAAAGCGACATTCAAGTAGCTGATCCGCTCGAAAAATTACAGTGCGCTAAAATACCCGAGTTAGCCAGTGTCAGACTAGCTCAATTTTGAAGCTCGTTGACGGTAGCGCGTACAAAAGCACTAAGTACAACATCTAGCTTAGGTGAAGTTTCGCTCATTTCAGTTAATGACAATAGTTTAAGGTTCACTTATTAGTCAGAAATGAGTGGTTGGACTTTTATGGCCGTATGAGCCTCGGAAAGCATCCCGTAGTACTGTACATTTGGATATATACGAATGATAGTCCTGTTACATTGTTAGTTGCGCGTATTTACTTCGGAGTTAATTTGGTACTACAAAATGATTCCGTATATAGGTCCGACGTCAGAGCAGTGAGTACTCGTTTCAGTGCACTCACAAGCCAGCGGTACAGCTGAGTGGAATAGGGACAAATTGAAGTCCGCAAGTTGGTAATCGTAAAAAACATTCATATACTAGTTAATATTAGCGTTCAGAATTACTTCGAATTAACTCGACCTTAAGAAGGTGATCCGAGCTGCGTTACGTCAAATAGCTATGAATTCGACAACAAGTTCTATAGCTTAACGGAAGTTAAAGGAATTATTTATTGACAAGTTTGAAGGAAGCAGGTGAAAATTAATTTTGGACACAAAACATCGTATCCTTCACTTTAACACAAAACTGTTATGACACCCATTTTTTTTTTTTATCATAGTGAGAACTTTTGCATAATCGGCTAATCTTCTGTAAAATTGGTACCGAAAAATTAGCGAGTGAAAGTACCTTCGAAGTGTAGCGATATTAATCAGAGTCTGCTTGGGGAACTGATAAGGGAATCTTAGACATACGCTAGAATTTTGACAAATTTTCGCAAAAGAGAATAGCGGTTAAATTATAACATGGGCATAATCCCAAATGTGACGCGCTACTTGAATCTGTCTATCAAATAATTCCGCATGCTAAATATTTAAATATAATTTATTTAGTATTCAAACCGGTCATGTTCTTTATTAGGGTAAATTGCTGTTCGTGTCCCGTTGCAATACTCTCTAGCTTGAAATGACTTAATATCTAGTAAACATGCCGTCTACAAAGACTGAGGAACAGCTAGATTTTAAAAGCGCCGTTCTGTCTCTAAATATTCGTTTGTTTGTCAATAATAGTATAAAGGCAAACACAGGATAATTCGCTGTTCTTATTCTTTTGTGCAGAACCACTGAACATGACATCGAACTTATTTCTCACCAATGCTTTCTATGAATACGTTGGAGTACGGGAGTATCTGTCAGGGAAAAACCTATTCATCACAGGATGTACTGGATTCGTCGGGAAGGTGCTTCTCGAAAAGGTGAAATTCCTTTATTAGTTTTAAGCAAATGAATCACATTAGAGTTTTCACCAAAGCAAAAAAAAAAAAGGTCGAGCATCATATCCGTTAAAGAATTATTACGTTTAGAGCGATTAGGATTTTAAAACCCGTTCATGTTATGTATATTCTAAGCTTCAGGGAAAGTAATCTAAGTTCAGTTTTCTAACTTTTCGTCTAGAGCGATGATATCTCGCATTATGCTTGTCTTTTATTTTGCCAGTACCTGATCAGTTCTGACTCAATGAAATGGGTTAACTTTCAGATATTGCGTTCTTGCCCCGACGTAGCATCGATCTATGTACTGGGACGCGAAAAGAAGGGCCATTCCCTGCAGCAACGCTTTACAGATATATTCAACAGTGCGTTATTCGATCGAGTACGCAAGGAAAATCCGACGGCCATAGAAAAGGTTCGCGAGAGATTATCGAAGTTAGATTGGGCTACCCGGGACAGAATTGTGTGGCTAAACAGAATTAACAAAATCCTGTTTCAATACATATATCGACGCGAAGCGAACACCTAACTGGTCTCTAGCATACTATCAACAAATTAGCTAAGCTGTACAAATTCTTTTTTACTGCTATTATTGCAAGGTGAAAATGATTGAAGGAGACATGCTACACGAAGGCCTCGGCATATACCCATCCGACTTGCAGAAGCTCCGGAGCTGTATCAACGTAGTCATGCATAACGCGGCCTCTGTGCGTTTTGACGAGCCGCTCCGAAACGCCGTTAGAATGAATCTTTTCGGTACAAAACGTATCCTCGAGCTTTGCGCCACCCTTGATAAGCTTGAGGTACTTGTGCACGTGTCTACATGTTACGCCAACTGTGATCTCGATACGATAGAAGAGAAAATCTATCCTCAAGAATACGAGCCTGAACAGATCATGCGTATGGTCGAATGGCTCGACGATGAAGCACTAGAATCTGTTCAGAAGAAGCTTTTGGGCAACAAGCCAAACACATACACCTTCACTAAAGGTCTAGCCGAGACAATGATCAAACAGTTCCACGACGCCGCCATGACCCGGTATGAGCAATCGCACAAGGAGGCATGCTCCCACAACAAAAACAACCACAACTCCGCTACTGTCAGACCTGATGAAGATGTGAAGCCTGCTTCTATAAAGAAACCTTTTGCGATATCAATCGTTAGACCTTCAATTGTGGTCGGGTCTTTGGCTGAGCCGGTGCCGGGTTGGGTAGATAACTACAATGGTCCCAACGGCATGGTACTTGCTACGGCTCTCGGCGTTCTTCGGTCCATATATTCGAAGAAGGAGATGCGCGCCGATTTCATTCCAGTCGATATTGTGGCGAATACGATTCTTGTGGTGGCCTGGCACACAGGCATGTTCCGTCCTCAAAATGTGCTCGTATATAACTGCGCTGCCGGCGATCGCGCACCACCATTAACTTGGGCCGATTTCGAAAACTACCAAGGCACCCTAATCGCAAAGGTTACATTCAACAAGGCCTTCCGCTATCCTAAAATCCACCTGCGTGGTAACTGGATTCTTCATCGCACCTCGATGCTGCTGGAACACTATGTGCCCGCATATGTCATGGACAAAATATACCAGCTTCTGGGTAAGGAGCCACAGTTCATGAAAATGTACGACAAACTGACCGCAATGCAGAACGCGCTCACTTTTTTCACGACCAACCAGTGGTGCTTCCGTACTGAAAAGGTCGAGCGGCTAAGACTTTGTTTGAGTGACAGCGACCGCCAGGAGTTCTGCACCGAGGTGAGCAACATTAGTTGGATTTCCTTTCTACATGATTACGTGCGCGGTCTACGAGATTTCGTCCTCAAGGAAAATCATAAGCACTCGTCCAATTGGTTCCAACGGCTCTATCTCTACGAACAGCTGATCAAGGTCGGGTTCGCGTTTGCAGTCTATAAAATGCTAGGTATCGGTAATATGGTGGCTTCCGTTTATGATAAACGAGGCGACTTTCGTCTATTAATGATTAGTCATCGTTACTAATATCAGTGGCAAGGTACGAATTTTATCCATGCATATAAAACAACGGAACGTAGAAAATCCATGGAATCCATTCTATAAAGACAACGGGAACACCTCTATATATGATAACTAATCATTTTATGCGATGATTGCGATGAGGCTGTGTTGCTTTGTGTATCACTACTCCAACATCAGCTGTTGTAGGACTGATTGAACACAGGGTTACATACCCTATGGGACATTGGAGCAAAAAATTTAAGATCTAGATTGTATGGCGACTTATTGATATCTAGTATTTGACACTAAATAGTGTTTAATATTCACTGAGTCGTGCAACCGAGTGGTCCTACGGGACATGGCAGGACTCATAATAACAGCAATATTGAGACAGAACGAAGGTACTTGGGAGCATCCTTTGTCTCCATTTTTATGATAGGCTAAAGCGACGACTTTTAACACGCAAATAGAGCAGGTCCATGACTTCTTAGCGTCTGCTTCGATTGGCCTAGTCGCTAGAAATTCTCTGTGACATCAGCTCATCCATATTTCAAACAACAGTTCAATGAATGAATGAACTTATAAACCAGCTTTCGACGACATGCAAAGTTCGTCCAAGTCGCTTAGATTAGAGCAGTAGACGGTGGTTCATTTTGACGGAGCTGACATAATTCCATAACAATACGTCGTAATTCTGACAGAAATATATTTATATGACTGACTCATAAACGGAATCGTGTTTTTATTTTTTATACTGTAAATTTCAGGTGTTGGCTTAAATAGCATACAAGCAATGTACAACTGATAAAAATGGGTATAACAGCAAAGAATCCTATTGACCCTATATGAGATTCGTTCTAGCTGTCATGCTTATTGGGACATAGACAGCAGCTTTTCTTCTATGGAAAGAGGGTTTGTTTTATTTGAAATCGCGAACTTTGGAGCTATTTAGCATTTCCATTGGTACTTTTAGCCTACATTTGACCAGGTAACTGTGGCTCGAGCCGTATTCGTCATAGAATTTTTACTACATTGTTCTTCCCGCGCTTAGTTAAAAAGGCCGCGAGAACCTCTTTTAGTCTTCACAGGCTTCATCTATTGTAAATACACTTTTTTTAAACGAGAAATATCTATGGAAAACTGAAGGCTTAAAGGAACTGCCAGGCGTTGGAAATCGGGCATACGGTAGCAAGCAGCTAAAATGATGTCAAATACTTTAATAAAAGGACGTTCAGTAGGCAAAGGGGAGAAGGTTCGGCACAAATGTTCCTTCAGTGCTTTGGATTACCGTTTCAGTGAAAACAAAAAGAAATAAATGTTTTTTACGTATATCTAGTATATAGTTTATGTCTATGTCGATATAATTTCTACTGCTTCACTTTCCGTTTTCTCATCACCCAAAAGTATACTGAGACATATTGCCCTTAACGTTCGTAGTTTGTTCACTTGGCATACAGTATTTCCGAGTGCAAACCATCCTAGAGAAAAAGAGAACTCGACCTCAAAACTACAGTTCCTTAATGCTAATTAACATTATTAGTTTGACTTCTATCGCTATTACCGCATTTTAAAGTTATCAACACTCTATAAAGTTAAATGCTATTCCACAAGAAGATCGCTTAGTGCGATTCCTTTGGCTCGGCTTTCGATATAATATGTTTTTTAACTAAGTGAGTTGATGAGTCCAATCAAAGCTATTTACTAGCTCACTGTTTCCAATGCATACGATAAAGCTCCGCGTGTCGACTACTCAGAGTGTGGTTTGCTGACTCTTACACATTGGTTTTCTATGTCTTACGTGATCCTGGTTGTCTCCGTTGTATATTTTCCTGCAGCAGGTACTCGAAGCGTAACCGTGCGGTATTTCGTTACGTGAGATCGTCGTTAAAGATGAAATAGCGATAAACGTACTCACGTCGCGGAATGAAAACAGTACAGCAAGTACAGAGTCTATCATAGAAGCATTTTTAAACAACCATCAAATGAAATATGGAGATAGCAAAAAAAGTAAAATTTGCCAAAATTATTTTTTAACTGACTTGTATATATATATATATTATTCTTCAAATTGTGAAATTTTCGAAAATAACTTTTTAAAAAATAGCGTACTCGGAAATCGAGTCTCCTTTCGATTCGACCAGTCGTCGACCGCTACAAGAACACTGTAATTCTGTGAAATCCAATCATCCTATTCATAGCTGTGACAAAACACTTATTTCTGGATTTCGATGTTGACCATCTAATGGAACAAGTTACTTGATGCTTGAAAGTTGCACATAAGGTCATGCTATAGCCCTGTTAATTCTAAGGGCATACGGCATAGGTCGTGACAGAATGAAACGCAGCCATGACAAACTAATACAATACCACAGCGTACGTTGCTACCTGCCTATCTGTCTATCTAATCTAATCTATCTATCTATCTATTTGGGCTGAAGAGTTCTTTTCAAGGGAGAAAGCCGAGTGAATCGAGAGACCTCGATGAGGTAAAATAATAGCTGACAAAGAATAGTTCGACGTGAAAATCGTGATAAGCTTATCTCGCTCGTGTGAAAGGGGGTTGAAAATGCGTTTTCAATCTCTTTTTGAGCGAGTCTCTAATTAATATCGAACGGAAATTTGTTGCATCTAATGTGGCAAATACTTTAATTAAACAATTTGCTCAAAATACATTATCTAAAAGATTTTTTTTTAACTAATAAATATCGAAATAACAAAAACGTACTTCTTACACGAACTTTGTTGACGCCGTTTGTTGGCACTGACTGATAGATCCTGACGAGCTAAATAACAACGCAATGATTTTCCTGCGATTAAAGTTTTTCGGCTTGAAAAAGACGAAAAACGGAAAGTAATAGGGAGAAATTCATTTTTCGATAAAACTTTATGTAAGTGAGGTATTTTTTGATACCAATTGAAAGTTCTCGATGAGCTGAATCGAAATCCCGCATTCTCAAGCTTCAGCTTCCTAAATGCTATTTGATAGGTTGAAAATCTAACAGGGTGTTTTATGCAAGGGGAAGGCATCGATGAGCTATATATTTATATTTTAAAGTAAGAATTGCGAAAATTCTATTGGCCGTGTAATTTTGCTCAGGTAACAATGGGGCAAAAGGTGCTTTTCGGGAGTCTGTTGAACGAATTTCTAATAAATGTTACTTGGAAAGTTGTACTTATAGAGTTGGTTTATCTTAACTCGTTTCTAGAAGAAAATGTCAAAATATTAACGAAATATAGCAAAGGATGAAATAAAATCTTCAAGCTGTTAACGTGTCAGGAACAAGGTCTATACGCTAATCGAGGCGTATAAAATATGTGTTTCTCTTTTATTATGAAAAAAAAAATATTAAAAAAAAGCTTTGCTGTGTAAATTTTGGAAACAAAATCGATACATCCAGCCGAAAGACTATCGTGATTCATTCAGTTCCATATATGCAACCACTCATTATAAAAAGAAAAAAAGCAAAAATTAAATACTTCTATGTTTTGGTGATGTTTGATATAGTATGAGTAAATATTTCCTGAGGAAATGAATAAAAACAGACTTACGTATGTAACAATAAGTCGTCGTTTTATTTTCAGTGTATTTGAATTTTTGTAGATAAGTAGTTGTTTGAAAAATAGATTACTGCTAAAGTTGGATTAGATTGAAAGAATATGGATGATCGGATTCGAAAAATCTATTTATTCTATTGTGTCATATAGAGGTAAGTAGTCTGTTCATATCCTAGACATATACATCTAACGGAGATATAAGTATCTCTAATAAGCGCTTTTCTAAACATAATTTTTTAATAAAAAAACACTTCTTTAAAGACGAACAAACTCATATCAACTCTTGGGTGAGTTTTTCGTCAACCCAGCTCATACTACGATTGCGTTTTGGAAAACAAACGATAATGAAGAAAAGTCCGCTTGCAGCTTCGAAAGCATTATTATTCCATAGAACACAATTTAATTAGGTATAAGGTGCCTCGTGGCCACCCTCAATATAATATCGGATAATGTAAGCAACGCACATGTCTGGTGATTTCGCGTCACTATTGACCCAAATTCAACAAAAACAATAATGAAACTATTCTCTTTGTTGCCATCTACCTGTTTGCAAGAGTCATTTTGATAAAGTGTAACAATAGTCAGTGATACGGACGTGCCTTGTCGCTTTGAGTTTCCCGCCAAAAACTACACATGCGCCTCTCTGTGAGCGTACAGTAATTGTATGACCGACTAGTACCCTCTAATAGTCATAAACGCAGCAGCACTTAAGCTTCAAGGCTATTTCGCTCAAAACACGATTGGGTCCACCTCACTCATCTCGAACGACAGAAACCAGGAGGCGCTCCAGTCGACCAACTGCCACGGACAAGTTAAAATCGTTGAAAAACAAAAACTAAATTGGCTGCCTTGGAGAAGTGAAAAGGTAAGAAGTTGATATATCGATTATACTTGTGTCGGTGATTATATTCGTTAAAATTACAAATGTTTATCGTTATCTAAAGACGGGTGGACGATGTGGCCGCTGCCGATCACTACGGCAGTTGATTGTACCCCTTACGGGCTTATTAAAAGAAACAATGTCTTACGTCTAAAGTTTTTTTACGAATAACTAGACATGTTTAATGCATTTTGAAATGTTCAACAACAATAACAAACGCAACCAATATTTCCGTAATGAAGCTGAGTGCTACCTCTAAGCACGCATGCGAAGTACTGAAACTGGCTATTGAAGAAAACGTATTTTAAGTGCAAAAGCTTTATAAGTGATCTGTGAATATAAATCAAATTATTTCTATTCAGGTTACTTTCACGAATGAACATTGTTAACATTTAACGCCGAATTTCTTTAATGCAATTTGCATTTCTTCGGGGGAATTGTAGAAGCTAGTTGCTCGGCTCAGTCTTCCGGTCTGGCAAGTAGAAAAAGAGACAAAGGGTATCAGCCTTAGGGTTATTGAACACCTTTGTGCCTGTCACAAATTTCAACGTTTATGTATAACTCGAGAAGCAACTGAAAAAAAATGCACCAGGTGTGTGCGAATTTCCTCCGGTTATCCGATTACATCTCCGTCTTAGTGTTCATCGACCACTTCGATTGCATGGAAGGAAAAAGTAGTGTCAAACAAATGCCCAGACGTTTTTGCTCTTTGTAGACTTCATTTCTTTTATATGTGGATGTACTAGCGATGGCAGCAGAAAGCTAAAACTAGAGTAGAAAGTCGTTCATCGGTTCAGACCGTCCGTTTTACGCCATCGTTTTCATCTACTATTATCATTATACTATTGAAGTTAGAGATCAACAGCTAAACGAATCGAGCGCGTTTTCCTCTAGAACATAGATCTGCAATCAACTGAAAATTCGGACATGGTCGACCGGTTAGAAAAACATCCGCAGGCTAACTAAATCTGTGTTGGTTGTCAAAATGACGCGCTAAAAAGTGAAGCGTAAGGTATTGTGTATCTAAGTCAGACAGTTATATGAAGCCAGAAGGTAATTGTTTTATAGCCTTAGGACAAGAGAGTCTCGAGTATAAGTGACATTTATCAGTCAGAGTGAGACCGCTTGTCTCCAATGTGTCCCGTTGCATCTTCGATTTCGTCTAAATCATTAGCAGTGAAGCCACCAATTTCACTCATCGATCCTCGATGAAAGTATCAAAAGGCGACTATAATCCCGCCCGGCTACATTTTTTTTCTAGCTATAATAATGTCATGGCATGAAAATGCCGTCGGTAGCTCTATTCGCTTAGAAGATATAACGCGTGTCAATAACGGCCAAACCAGTGTCGTTGGGCAGTTACGCAGAGCGCTGCAATTAACAATGGATGTTTACAGTATTGCCCAATCGAAAGTTGGAAAAGCTCGTATCTCCCATATATGCAATGGCATTTCAGCAATAGCATGATGACTAGATTCTTACGGTCGGGCTTGAACGAATATCTGCTGCACTGTCTTTTCACGAAAACGTAAACATCTCCCATAGAAGGAATAAATCAGGCGCCATTATGATCTGTTAGAATATAAACAGTTGCACTAAAAAAAAAACCAACCTTGTATTCTAGAACGCCTTACAAATTATCAAACCTCACAAATTAGAAACCTTACGAAATATCTGCAGAACCTTCATCAACGTACAGGCTAAATTTGTTTGTTCAACACACTGTGAAAATAAATCACTGCTGCCTTTTGTTGATTTAGACAAGAGGAAAATACCTAAACAGGTTTCAGTTAATCCTATTTTTACATTTATAGAGTTTTCGGTTTTTTAAGGCCTTGGGTCAAACGTGTCGGCCCGTATCGCTTGATTTTCTTTGCAGTCTATAAATCAATTTAACAGACTGCTTGCCTTTGATCTTTTCCTAAGGTCGCACTGAAGAGAAGCCTGCTGACCACTTGAGGACAACGCGCCACTCCAATAATGACACTTAAGTCAAACCAAACAGGATTAGATACACCGTGTAGCACTAGGCCCCTGTATTATAACTTCGATGGCTTACGTTTGAGCTGTTCGTTTAATATAGACCGTTTCCACAGCGCAATACGTTATAAACCAACTGAGAACGACATCTTCATCGCAACCTTTCCGAAGTCCGGCACAACTTGGCTACAGGTAAATTAAAAAATTCTAGAATCTCAGTAATAATAATATGTGTTAATCAATCTATTGTCTCATTCTAGTAACCATAACAAACAATTAAATATGTGCGAGTACACCTTTAAAACATCAAGCAACACACGAACAAACGTGGCGGGGTTGTATGACGCGCATGGGCAGAGATTCGCCTATCTAGCTCGGCTAAATTCATTTAGTATTCTGAGAAAATCTGAAATCACGCTGATATGGGTAGCTCGTGACGTTATCTGCAAGCCTAAAAGCTGTTACTATGAAAGTCGACTAGTTTAGAAACGTAAACTATAAACCCCAGTAGAATTTGAAACGCTTGAAATGAAACGCACGTGCTTATTTACAGGTGTCTGGCCTTCTTAAGTGATCCTAAAATATCCCGTCTTTTAATTGTTCGGCACACAAATCACGTTTTGTAGGAAATTTGCTATCTAATCTTCAACGATGGAACATCTCCGACAAGCCACGTGCAGCGGTTGAAAGACACGCCATTCCTTGAGATGTTTGGCGCTGAAGCTGTCAAGCAGATGCGTAGACCTGGAGCGATCAAAACTCACTTATCATTTAATCATGTACCCTTTTCGCCGAAAGCAAAATACGTGTACGCGATTAGGAATCCGAAGGATTGCGTTGTTTCATTCTACTATCATACCTCGAAGGTAAACAAAGCTCGTCTACTTACACATGACAACGATTACTATAACACTCGCTCATTTTAGTAGACAACTCGTCATTGGTTACTGTGGGGTGTGAATATCTATTTGCTGACTCTTTCTCTACCATTTTTAATAGTGTTAGATAGTGCAGCATTCTAACACGTTCGCTCGTTATTCTCGTTTAGACTTATCCAGCTTACAATTTCTCTGATGGAACGTTTGCTGAATTTTTTGAGTTATTCATGGCTGGCAAGACTGACTTCGGCTGCTACTTTGAACACGTACGTTCGTGGCTTAAACAAAGGCACCGGAACAATATCCACTTCATTTACTTCGAGGACATGAAGATAAACGGACCAGCCGAAATCCTCAATCTAGGAAGGTATCCAGCATCCGCTTATTTTTATGAACTTTTCCTGCAACGTTGTGCGTCACAAAGGTTTCGCGAAACAAAAAACAAAGACCTGTACATAATGCTGTTGTCGAAACAGTATTTCTTCAGCTTATGATATAGCCTAAGTTTTGTTTTCATAATATAAAGTCACCTAGCTGAAGGTACTGACAACTAATTATGCAATTGGCGTATTGCTCAGGTTCCTAGGCGAAGAGTATGAGACGAAGCTAAAAGCAGGTCTTCTGGAAAAAGTTATCGAAGGGAGTTCAATCAAGAAAATGAAGGAAGACTTCGACTCATTCAAAATCGATGGCGATGAGAACCTGCCCGAAGGAATACGACAATTTGCCACCTGCAATGCACCTAAACCAGCGATAGGGTCGAACTCTGCTAATGAAACCGGCTTAGCCAATGGTGTGACCGAGTTCAAGAACTTTGTACGTAAAGGGACAATTAATGACTGGAAGAACCATTTCACGCCTGAGCAAAATGAGCGTATGGAGGCTAGGATTTTGAAAGAATTTGACGAAGAATTCCCAGAACTTGTTCGCAAATGGCGTACCTATAATGTATTTGATCCACTGCCCGTGAAATAGAGTTACAGCTAGGGATGAAAACGCGTGAGGACTGTGATGTATCAGCATAATACCGTGCTCATTCATCCTACCGTTAAAAGTCATATTTAACCCAAATGGGAACAACGAATCCGATCCTGTTGCAGGGATTACCCGCGATTACAAGCCCGTACTGCATATGTGCTAAGGGAATGTTTATGTCATACACCTGAACAAAATTTCTATTTTCAAAATAAAAAAGCATTTATTACAAAGCAAAACCTTGTAATACAATACCCTTTATTACTATGCTAGAACGAGAATTGTTTACTTCGAAGAGAAAATAAATAAAAAAAAAAAATACATCACCAAAAGTATATCACGTCGTTTTAAATCAAGTTAGAAAAGTCCCACATTTGAGGGTGAACTCACAGCCTTCAATCAACTGAACATATTATAATGTCTCACGCAGAGGAAAAATAAGAAAGTACTTGCCGGATTCAGGTCAACAGACGAACAGTGTTGACACTGAGCGCTATTGGTACAGGTTGAGGCAAAAGCCTCAGGTCGGTCTGAAAATAATATTTGGATAGTCGGGGAGTCTTAATTTTACATTAGTCAAGACGAGTGGAAATAGATAAACAAATAGTTACGATAAAGAGAGACAACATTTGCGACAGGGGTACTCTAAAACCACTGTTATATTCCTCTAATATTTTGTACAGGCTATCCTGATATTAATGAAGAAAATTGTTTGATGTATCACAGTAATCATTGTCGAAGCCATTTCACTCTAGGCATAAACTTATCCTATGGCATTATACCATTGTACTCAAACAGTATAGAAGCGGTGTTAGGTTGTCACTGCCAGAAATATGGAGCACAGTTAAGCCCGCTACTTATTGCCATGGTTGGCGTATCCTCTACTACTTAAACAGCTATGCAATGAAGACCTTTTAACCCCCGACGAAACGTTTTCAGAGTGTCAAGAGAGGTCCTTTTAAAGTGGGCAGGGACTTTTCTCAAAGTCTTTCTTTTTTTGCCTCGTCTCGCTGTTGTATCGCACTTGTTTAATTCCTGAAAAAGCAAGAATTCCAAGGTACCTTCATCAAGGCCCTGTCCAAAGAAATTCACATCTATTCAACTGTTTGGAACATTCAAAGGTTGTTATCGATTCGGTTTGTATATTATCGCATGATAACGTTTTGTATTGATAATCATTTTCGCGCTAGGTTAATCAAGGCAAGTTCATTACTACGTCATCGATTGCTGCACCGACTTCCGACTACAACCGTATCTCGTTAATATACTGTGTCCACGCTGGAAAAACAAGAACCCAAAGCCGCTTGCAAGCGATCGGCCTGATACACTGACAGATACCCCAAAGGAACTGATAATAAACAACATGATTTGCGCGGACTAGCTAGCGCTTGCTTGAGACAGAAGGCGGCGCTTGTGGCTGGGTCGAACAGGGACAGCTAACGTATTAATGAATGGACCGATTCGCAATAAGTCACCGTCGCCGCCGCCGCCGCCGCCGTCGTCTCTGCCGTTGTTACATAAAAGCACCACGCGATGATGCAGCTGCTTCTGAGGCTACTGGCGCCAATATCGTGCCAATAGCAACGATACATGTCGACTGTTTACTGGAAGTGCGCGCGCTTCAACCCTGGTGACGTTGTCTTGTACTGCCATGGCCATCTACACAATGTAGATAGATTAGTTTCTGTTGTTGCATTTTCTTATGATGGCCATGATCAAAGTGATGATGACGCTGACTGTCGTCGCGGACGATAAACGCGGAAGTGTAGTGGCCGATTATTTTTCTTCTGGCAAGCAATGATAATAAAAATAACGAACGCAATAGTAAGATAGCGAACAATCGTAGTTATCCAAATCCAGCCGATATCAAGCAATTACAGTATAGGAAACAAGAACGAAGCACTTACCGAGCCGATTTACTGCACTATCGATTACAACCAGCAACAATATACGTCTAAATACGTAAATCAATCAGCATCGATTGGTCAAAAAAAGATCATGCACGAAGGACAGACAAACTCTGCTAAATCTGGCGATAGATAGATAGATAGAAATAAAAAACAAATTTTTTTTATTAACAATTAAGTGAAGAGCAACTTAATCCTAGCTTATATTGGATTACCTGTACACAATTGTTGACACGTTGAGCATTAGTTACGTACTGTATTAGTAAAATAGCTGCTCCGCCTTTATATCTATCGATATGCTTAACTATGTTTGAGCATTTCCTGGCGTTTTACGAACAGTTGCAACTTTGGCCCATAACTCAAGCTTGCTCTCATTCAGCAGGTACCCTTATTCTTTCGCGGCCCATTTTACCATTATTCCTGTGGCGGCAAAAGTGTTAATAGGGTAAACATCTACAAGGAAAGCAAAAAGGAAAAGAAAAAAAAATTTTTCATCCTCGGTACTCACAGTCATATTTCATGTTGTGAAATATTTTTGAATGTCGGCCCGAAAGGCAACACGGAACCATCTTGGGCAACTTTTAGCAGGAAAAAACGTATTCACCACAAAACCCCCACCATTACGGCATCGGTGACATGATCGTAGCGCACAACTCTGGACCAAGTGCTCTGATCGTGTATGAAACACCTGTTTCTTTCATCAAAATGCAGCTGAACCCGACGTGCGGATTCCGGCACGTGTCCCGAACCCACATGCCTCTAAAGAAAGAACGCAATTCCCTGCACTAGGGTTAGCCGCGCTACAAACTACAGAATAAGTATTCCCGTACCTTCGGCTTACCAACTTCTGTTGCTTGAAAAATAATAAAATAATTAGGTTTCCAATGGCTGAAGTATAAAGAGGGCTACTAGTAACCTTTGCAGAACCGTCGACCTTTGATACCGAGACCTTTCGCACCGCCGTATTAGGACGGCATCAAAACATTTCGGTCGATACCTTAATGGTTTTTGCCTTTGTTCTGACTCCTACGAAAAACCTGACCTAAAAAGGCCTCCCATGGCCCAATAGGATATTCTGCTTTGAAAGGTGCGAATATGAGCCGTCTATCCTGAACAGTTGGTTCTGAGTGGTTATTTCTTTGCGAGATTTGTAAATATTTCTTTTATTACGACGAGCCGCGGTTTTCTTTGACGATATTCTATATTGCTTGGAAAGTTGGACTTCTCCCATCCATTGCAATAATTAAATCAGTTTACGATATAAACTTGTATCCATGTAAAGACGTATTCAATCAGACGATAAACTAGCCCTACTCGACATACACTATTGAGAGGACTCAATGTCCAAATCGGCCTATCTGGTATTATCACAAAAATGGCCACAACAAGTAAAATCACTCATGATATAATCTTGTTTATGTTTGTTACTAATAAAACAGAGTATTTTCGGTACGTTGTCAATAGGATTTTTGTAGGCCATAGGAGGGCACGAAGCGAAATAGGAACAACACAGCAATCGTTTAGTGTGCCTGATATTCAGTCAAATAAAAAGACATTGAGAAATGAATCTTTCTTGACGAATGACGACGCTTTTCCTAACTTATTCTTTGATTTAGCCACATTGCCAAACGGGAGCCAGCAATTAACAAAAGACTTTTACATGCATTGGAAATCGGGTAACTTCCCAATCAACTACTTCGCTTGCAAAGATAAAAGTGGAAACCCTCTATATATGCATTACTTTTGAACAGCCCCCATAGATTTGAAGAGTTCGAATAGATAGCAGAGGTCAACAATGACTATAGTAACGCTAATAAACAGATGGCTATAATTGATCTATTACTGTGAAATGATCATAGAGTTTTAGGTAACGGCTAGTTATTTAATTTAGTTAGTTTAATTGAGTTTATTAACGGTTAGTTAATAATTATTAAACGGAGTTGAAAGGTAATATACTCAGATGACAGTAACCTGCGTCCTAGGTCTCTAGTTAAAACTTTTGTTCATTCTCTAGTCAAGTAACTTCGGCACGATGATGTTTGGAATCTCTGTTCATTTGATTTAGCTAAGTTGAATATATATATATATATATATATATATAGTAAGGTCTTAGTTAACATAGAAACGACAATTAGGATACACAGCCTAACGTCAAACTCTAAAGTGCAACATCTCATGTTCTGATTCCAAATCCTATGATCCATTGTAGGTGCAGCCGGTCTAAAGCAATTTTAAATGGGCATTGAAAATCACTTACTACAATGTCTATAAAATAGTAGTTTTGTTGTTTGTCATCGCTCGGATAGACACACAATATATTATTACCATCCTTATCCTAAATAAACTCATGGGATGTCTAATAAATATTAAAACAAATAAATCAACGAACCCAACCGAAGTTACCTCATTAACACTAACGTAATGATATACGTTACTATTAGGTTGTTTTGGCACATTATCTCGTTAATTAATCTATCTAACCTTCCTTCGATTGGCTTCCTCTGCCTCAAAAACTCCAAACTATAAGAACACAATTATAGGAACTCATCAAGCGGTAAAAAGTGATTTTTTGGGGAAGGCCAAAAAACCTGACCTTATGCTTACTAAGGCTTTTTTTTTCTTTACAAATATGTTATTTGTTCATTGCCCCGTAACTGATTTACAAGGGCGTCTTTTCTGGGCAAAAATCACCCTCCGGATCATTACTTCACAGAAATGCTTTGTCGTGCCAATCATTGATATAATGTTCGTATGCTATATGGCTGGCTATGGGCGTTCGAATAACCGGAGTCACTTCAGTGGCCGATCCCTATCGGATAAAGCCCTCGCACACTAACCTAAAGGAGCAGTATTACTTAATAAAGAACATTTGCGTGTTACGTTGTTAGACTTGTGTCTGTACGCTACTAGACAGGCTTACATATGTCCCATGGTTTTTCTGGGCTGAAAAATCACGGTTTGTGTTCTGGGGAGAATCACGCCGATTTCAGATATGTGTGAACGTGGATGTTGTCACCGTACGTGAATTTTATGTGTGTTCAGATATGGTTTTTAGTTTTGTAATGATATGTGCAGTACAGTTATGTTGAAATAGCTTTTAATCATTGTCATTTATTCAAAAATTTGGCCGTATATGTTTATTTGTATATTGAGTTATCACTGATAATGTTTCGATGACACCCTTAATGGTAAATGATGCTCACATCTTCTTACTTTGATGCTTTTTTTTTCGATACTATTTTAACACCTAATTTAATCGTCGCTTACCTAACAAGCCTTTAGTATCGACCGATTTGTTCAGGTGTGCTCCTACAGCTGTAGATTTGTTACATAGGCTTCTAAGTAGCGCTTCGCTATGCAGCACCATTTTTTATATAGTTGGGACCATTTTCCTGTATTTTAGGCTACAGGTGCGATGTAAAATGTGCCAGGCTCGCACTAGGTCATATTTGAATCGATATCATAATGGCTTAAATGGCAATGTTCGCAAAAACTCTAAGAAATGATATTAAATAGGTGGGATGGTCGTAAGTTCGATTTTAATTAGGGACAGTCTATCGCCTGTCATTGAAATTATGGATGACTGCAGGACTGTAGAAACGCAAGCTTAACTGCCGCACATGTTTGAAAAACGAAAGTAGGCATGTTTATGTAATAACAATGCTCTTGTTTCATCCGCAATCGGTGGTTAAATAGTACTAAGTTAAGAAGCAACAACAGAAAAAAGCGCCGCTTGTACACCAAACGTTCTTACTCTTCGACCTAACCAGTTTAATGTGTTTAAATGCAAAGTATAACCCAGAAAGGTCTATGGGTAATGGTAATGGGTCTATGGTAAATTAGTAATAAGTATTTGGGCTTTCAGTAGATTAAACTGTTTTCGCTGATATCTTATTAGAAAGAAGTCATATCGATTGGAAGAATATTTTCGCACTTGGTATTACCTACTATATATA